CGTGATAGGTCCGGTAGCAGATTGAACGTCATTTCTGCATCTGACTACTTTCCCGAGCTAACAAGCTTGACATGCACATTGACCACTTGGGTAGCTAATAGTACCTATCTAGTATCGCTGATCAGGGTATTGCTGATCAAGAGTGTATGTAAACTGGCCTGACAGCCTGATGGCGAACTTCATGGGTCCCCCAGCAATTTGAACTAACATCGCAACCCTTTTATGATCTTATCCTTCTAGCGTGGCTGATCTATCTATCTTTCCGCGAAATCGAAATCATCGACCATCCTGACATCTCAGCTAACATCTAACCCGAAGCAACGGAGAATGTGTATTCTCTGGATTTCGCATGGTGCTGGTGCAAAGCCCGGATGCTTTACATGTTGGTCCCGTTGAAACGTGAAGCGTTCAACGGCTCGGCAACTGCACTCGTTCATGTTAATGCGGTTCGTCCGCTCGGTCCTATGCTTCTCATTGCTACCGAAGACCCCTACCCCGCCTACTATGTTAGGTAGTTTAGGTCAGATGGAACATGATCTGCCTTAACATAAGGTCACTTGATGTCAAATCGCGACAGACAAGATGAATGATCATAGCCTGATGGACGAATAGGAAAATAGATCTCGGATGTTGTCTTCGATCCCAAGACCATAGAAACTAAGTGTAGAAATCTCCGGCGACTAATGAGACTCTAAAATACTTCCGACGTCAGACATGAGTGAATTCTATGCAATCACTCGGTTGTCCACTCGGTTGTCATACTCAAGCCTTGTTTCGGCCGCCTGGCGTCTCTTGAGACTTCTTTCAGCCCCTGGGCCGATACGGAGTATTAATCCAAGAGTTTGGGCCCAATGAAATCTCATAGCCTACTTCTTACCGCAAACAACAAAAATTGGTGGTGAAAAGGGAGAACGCCACGGAATATCGCGACATACATAAAATATTATCAACCTCCCACATCAAGAATTATCTATCGATAGGTACCTCTAAGTATGCACAACCCCCTGAGCTGTACTCATATCCGAATCAGACCCTTCAACCCGGAAATGAGGCTTAATATAGTAGTTAGCAGCATCCTAGAGTGGGGGCTCTTCAGTTATGTATGTATGTATGTATGTATGTATGTATGTATGTATGTATGTATGTATGTAACGTGGTGATTTGTGGAATGTGGCCTGCCTTATTTGATTCGGTTCGCTTTTTTCATTAACACGATATTAGTTATCCGAAGCTATGCGCCACTCATATAGAAACGAAGTATAAGTCAGTTGTCTTAAAGAGAAACTAGAGACTCGCAGTTCAATAATGGTTTAGGGATATGTAGCGAAATACATATCTCCCTTGTGATAGATCTTCGAGTCCGTGCTCTTCACTTATAAGCAATGTCCAATAGGAACATTTAGCACATCCCCCCTTTCTATAGTAAAATTGGCCGCACATTCTGCTTCACATGATTCAACTTGTCTGTGTGTGCCTTGATATGTTTGTATTGGATCTATATTTACTCACGTGTGGTACTATATGCGTGTAATGGTTCGGTATACGAATTCCATCACCGTGATGTAAGATTAAAACCTATCAATCATTTCTTTTTCCGAGCAGCGCTATTCTAGAAGGCAGTAAATCAATCGTTAAAGAACAACTTATGAATTTCATGTTATGTCATGTCATGTCTGACTTGTGATCATATTGCAGTTTGGGTTAAATATATGAAAATGAGCTGTCATATGGTGTTATACCTTATGAAGTGGCATGCATACATTATCTTCTTGCTGTAAGTCATAAGGCCATCCAAAGAGAACAATAATGCAAGGGACGCCCGCGGAAATATGCATAGCTAAAGCGCAAGAAGCTAAAAAGGGGTATAAGATATCAGATTGGAGAATAAGCGACCCGACATCGCTAATAAATGTTTGCATCTTATAGGTAATTTAGCAGAGTTCTTTGTTAACTAGCCCTAAACTCGGCTCAGTATTGACAGCAAGATGTCTCCCATTGACCAATCATACCCCTAACTACCCCGCTGACAGCCCGTAAGGGTTCCTCGGATCCCTTATAGTGGGTTAGGCGGGGAGCACACGACATACCAGCCCACAAGTGCTGTCCAACGACTGCAACGACCGAAATCGTGAATTGTCAAATCTATCGGCAGGCTTGGCTCTTCTTTGTGCTGGATATCGTGCCACTTTTCTATGTAGACTTACCTGCATGTGTTGTCCTTAGTCTACTACGTAGCCGCAGTACTGGGTTGTTTAGACTCCCGACATATCCGTTGCTTTTACATACTTCGTACATAAGTTGGAACACTACCCCTCTAGACTTCAAACTCCATCCCTTGATCTGTTTCTCTTCAAGTTAACAATATTTGATACTTTGAGACGGTTCAACGACATAGTCGTATCTACCTCTCTTCCTACTCAACCCTCTTGACGATCGCGCTTCCGAGCAGCGATCACCACACGCCGTCAAGACGTTTTCCAATCTCCTTAACTCGTAAGCTCCCTTCACCGACTGCCAACTGCGAATACCTAAAAGTTAGAGTCTTGTTTTCTGACTTGCCATGTAGCGTTCACCACCCATACGCCGGAGCCCGCTGCTCTTCACCCGGAGGCGCAGCGGACTCGCCCTTTATTCAATAAAGGGTTGCCCAGATACCTCAATTTCAAATATATCAAGGTATACCGCCAGTAACAACAAAGCACCATGGCACCGCACGCCGAATCAGACCCGGGGGCCGCGTACGGGAACAGAAACGGAAACTCGAACGGTACCGACAACTCGGCTTCATCGCCATCTAGCAATCTCTTCACGGTCAGCTCTCCCAACGTGACTTACACCGACAATGAGATCCTGTCCAAGTATACCTACCGGACTACCAGCGTCACCCAGGATGCTGCCGGCAAATATGTAGCTACGCCTAAGGAGACAGCCTACGACTTCAAAGTCGATCGCAAGGTCCCTAAGGTTGGCATGATGCTTGTCGGGTGGGGTGGAAACAATGGCACCACCGTGACCGCTGGCATCATCGCCAATCGCCGGGGCCTAGTCTGGGAGACTCGCGAAGGTCCTCGCGCAGCTAACTACTACGGGTCCGTCATCATGGGCTCTACCATGAAGCTTGGTACGGATCCCATCACCAAGCAGGAAGTCAATATCCCATTCCACGACGTCCTTCCCATGGTCCATCCCAATGACCTTGTCATTGGCGGGTGGGACATCAGCAGCTTGAACCTCGCCGACGCCATGGACCGTGCTGCCGTGCTCGAACCTACTTTGAAGGCGCAGGTCAAGAAGGAGTTGGCCCAGATGGTCCCTCTCCCTAGTATATACTACCCTGACTTCATTGCCGCCAACCAAGAGGACCGAGCCGACAACCTCATTCCCGGGAGCAAGGCCTCTACGGCTCACGTCGAGAAGATCCGCAAGGATATCCGGTAAGTCCCGACTTGCACGCCTACATTAGATACTCAGGACGCTTTTATTAATCTGAACAATAGCGACTTTAAGCAGCAAAATGGCCTCGACAAGGTCATCGTGCAATGGACCGCGAACACGGAGCGCTACGCCGACATCATCCCCGGCATCAACGACACGGCAGACAACCTCCTCCAAGCCATCGAGAAAGGGCACGAAGAGATTTCCCCCTCGACCATCTTCGCCGTAGCCTGCATCCTCGAATCAACACCCTTTATCAACGGGTCTCCGCAAAACACATTCGTCCCCGGCGCCATCGACCTCGCCTCCCGCCACGGCGCCTTCATCGGCGGCGACGACTTCAAATCCGGCCAGACCAAGATGAAATCCGCCCTCGTCGACTTCCTCATCAACGCGGGCATCAAGCTGACCTCCATCGCGAGCTACAACCATCTCGGCAACAACGACGGCAAGAACTTGAGCTCCCAGCGCCAGTTCCGGTCCAAGGAGATCTCCAAGAGCAATGTTGTCGATGACATGGTTGAGGCCAACTCGGTCCTGTATAAGAAGGGCGAACACCCCGATCACACCGTTGTGATCAAGTACATGCCCGCCGTCGGCGACAACAAGCGCGCGCTGGACGAGTACTACGCCGAGATTTTCCTAGGCGGCCACCAGACTATTTCGTGAGTCTTCCCTCCCCCTCTCCCCCTATTAACAACCTTACCTAGGTAGCTAACCCGCCCTCCCACCCCAGCATCTTCAACGTCTGCGAGGACTCCCTCCTAGCCTCCCCCTTAATCATCGACCTCGTCATCGTAGCCGAGATGATGACGCGCATCAGCTGGAAGCTGTCCTCGCAGCCCCCGTCCGAGTTCAAGGGCTTCCACAGCGTCCTCAGCATCCTGAGCTACATGCTCAAGGCGCCCCTGACGCCGCCTGGGACCCCCGTCGTCAACGCGCTCGCCAAGCAGCGCGGCGCCTTGACGAATATCTTCCGCGCTTGCGTCGGCTTGGAGCCCGAGTCCGATATGACGCTCGAGCATAAGCTGTTTTAAAGCAGCCATGCTCGCCGTAAGCGTGATTTCGGAATTTTGGCATCAAGGGGATTCGTCCCGCTAACTCACTTCTATTCTTCGGTTATGGCTTTGTCTAGTCTCTTGTGCCGCGACACAGCCGCTTTTTGAAAAAAAAAAAATCTTCTTTTATGGATATCGCTCAACGCTGCCGGACACATCACATGTACATAGGATCTCAACATCCTAGATATCGAGAAAATCTGCTATAAACAAATTACGAGTTTATCTATTTCCTGAATTGTATACTATCCTGGGACTCGTGACTCATCTCGATGTGATGTTATATGAGGGTATATGATATGTAGCAGAAAATACCTGTTGTAAATGTAGCAGGCCGGGAGGTTTTCCCCCTCCCGAATGGTATCTTGACCCCTAATCCCTTGAACGCCACCGCTATGCTAGTGTGTAGTGTGTATATATAAAAGGCGCGAAATGCAGCGCTATGTAAATGAATAGTTTAGCCGAATTGCCTTATCCCTCGTAGCAGAACCCCCCTTTTTTTCTTTTTTAAAACCAAGACTTGCTTTCCCTGAGCCGTTTGTAATTATTGTAATTATTACCCCTATGCCGGCTGTCATTCTCCGGCAACAGATCGGAACCACTCGCCGTGCTCATGCGGGTGCCGGCGCGACTCTTAGTATTACTGCTCACCTCCTCGAAGAAATAGTGGTTAGCGGCAGCCGAGTAATTCACGCGCCAGGGTACCACCAGCCCCGCCGTGTCCGGGCCGTGGCCGCAGCTCCCCGATAGCGCGGCGCTGGGAGGCGAGTTGACGGCGACGGCGAATAGGTTCTGGGGCTCGGTGTAGTCGCTCACGAGCCCTTGGCGGAAGAAGGCGAGATAAAGCAGACATGCTACGTTAATCGCGAAGACTGTCCCCAACACGGCGTAGAATATGCCTTGCCATTTTTGCACGTGTGAAGATGTATACTGCTGGGTACGCATAGACGCCTTGAATGTCTCGTAGACGCCCGGGTCCATCTCGACCTTCGGATAATCCCAGATCATGCGGTAAGTCGACCCGAGAGTCCCGGCGACAAGAGTCGATGAGGATAGTACTGCTAGGGCTTCGGCTATGGAGGGTAGGAGCGGGTTAAGTGCCGCTTCGCGCAATATGAAATTCGTCATGATGCGCGCGTTGCTCGCATTATTGTTCTGCACGCCACCGTTAAGATCCATGGAAAGGCGCCACTGCTCAGCTAGGTTCCTCCAGTCGATAGAGGGATCGGGGGGGTTATTAACGTCGTCGTTGCCCGATGCGGCGAAGTACGAGTCCGTGTCCTCAGGGTCCTCGCAATGTGCCCGCATGAAGCCGCCGGATATGCCCGAGACGTCGAATCGAGTCGAGCACTTTGGTGTTACCCACGACCGCATCTCACAGAGCGTGTATTCGGCAATAGCGTTCGACTTGGCTAATACGTATAGAGACTCCGAGTTGGCGACTGAAGTATTGGTGATCATGTTATAGTCGATCGGGAACTACTAGCGTCGTTAGTCCGAGCATCTATTATACAAGCCGGGGGCTCTTAAAGCAGGGGAAAAGGGGTTCTGACTAGTTGAAAAACAGGGGGTCGACGGTGGTACTTAGGACCCCATCGAAAAATGTCATCGACTACGGTCCTGTTGAGCCATTCGTCGTCAGCCGGGGGTGGGACATCATTGAACCAATCTTCCACGCCGGTTTTCTGCCCGGGTATCTCGGTGTCCTCCGTTCGGGCATCAGGCCAAGTGGTGTATATGAGAGGTGCTAGCTCGTCGTGGGCCATGTTGACACACATGGCATTGACCACAGGTGAAACAACGCTGGCACGGATCGAGTATTCACCGACACCAGCCAGATCGTCAGGTTGCAATATGTCGTTGCGCGGGTCTGTCGCAGCCAAGTAGACGCCCGCATGTGGCATCGCGAGCGTGACATTATTGATGATCCTGTTGTGGGATTTCAAATTAAGCTCCGGGTTTCCGAAATCGGTCTCGATCCAAGATGATACCATTGTTGTGTTGTCGAATAGACTATGCCTGCCCACAGGCCTCGAGGCGAGGTTGTCCATCCTCGAAGTCTTATTATCGTGGATGGCTTGCCATTCTGTCCTGGATGGGCTGTTAGCCAGAGGTTGGTAGTGTTGAGGGGGTGTGACATGCATGAAGGTAAGTAGATTATGATAGGACTGTCCCGAGTATTGGACATCGAGGCAAGAGGGCGCCGAATTGTTCGGGTCCATGCTCAAGTCAATGGGGGTCGAGCAAGCTTTCTGTACGTAGAAAGGGTTCGCATAAGAAGCTTTCACCAGCCCTTCCAGCTCGCGATTCTCCCACCGACCAAACATAAGCTTAGGACTTACCAAGGCGTCCGACGCCGTAGTGTAAAACAGGGAGCAGAGAGTCGCAACAAGACTCACACCACCTAAGAGGGTCATCGCCGCGTAAGGAACTCCTTCCCAATAAGTAAGTAAAGATCCCGGTTGCTAAGCTCGTTAGTGTTAACAAGTTAAAAAAGAGGAGTGTACGTAGTAGTTTACTCACGATGACCCAATTCCGCATCGTCATCTCGGCAAGAGTAACGCCCTTCGCCCTTTTGATAAAAGCTCTTCGAGTTAGGACTTGGCCGAGAAGAGCGACGTAGACCGTGACAAAGGATATTTCAATGGTCTTAGCGACCAAGGTGCAGACGAGGGTGGCTGTCGAGGGTGCCATCTTCCACCCCTCGCTAGATGATATGCCTCTTCCATATCGCGGCTGGTAGATGGAAGTTATAAACCACAATCCGCTTAGAAGGGTAGAGTACAAGGACAATAAAGCTAGAACGATGTACTCCCAGCTCCAATGCTTGATGTACACATCCCGCCTTGAGTGGCAGTCGAGGGGTGGCCGCTCTTAAAGAATCGGTTAGTATCAAATACCGTAGGCAAAGCAGAATAATGAACTCCAAATATACCGTATCGCGCAGCGAGATCGTCAATTTCGATGTCGCTGCTATCATCCGAGCTCGTACAGCTCTCTTCTGGGATTTCGCGTGCGTTGTTGACCGAGCCCATGGGATAATTCTCCGCATCCCGATTCTCCATCTCGCGATGTGGCGGTGCGGCTTGGTGATCTTCTCTAATCTCGTCGTAATTGCCACTAATACGAGAGAAAGAATTGCTTTTGAAAAGCGTTGTGGGAAGAGAGCGATCCAACATTTCTTTGAATCTTGTGCGGCGCAGGGGTCCAGGTTTCTCAAGATTAGCTGCAGCAGAATTACCAGAATTACCAGAATTACCAGCTGCGATACCAACTTCCGTTCTAGGCTGCATGCCGTGTTCTAATGGCCGAGCTGCGCGTTTGTCGTCGGCCGTGTCAGTTCTCACTGTTACCAGGGGGTGGTTGAAAGGGGAAGTTGGTTGGTATAACGGAGAATTCGATATATCTTCTTCGGAGATATCTTGTGATTTTGTTGTTGTGATTTCTCCGGACGGCTGGAGAGCAAATGCTGGCTTATTGCCAGTAATAAACTCCTTTTGATTACGCCAAGGTGAGAATGCTGATGGTAGAAAAATGGGCACCTCATCGACCAAGTGGACATCCGATTCCTGTGCACTTTTCTCCATGACCGCTGATCTGCATTTGCGTATGTATCATAGCCGAAGTTGCTCTTTTACTGTTAAGGTAAGCAACCTTGACGGAACCGGTCAATTTAATGATATGGAAAAAGCGATAGCAAACATTTCAGCACAAAGCCGCACAGTGCTGAATAACCACAGCAACAGCAAGATGGTTAAAGCCCCGGTTTCTGTCGTTTTTTTTATCCACTCGCTGTAGAGGATCAGCTGCGGATAGAACCCGGCAGAGGAACGGGATCCTGTGGTGGGTGTGGCAGAGACGGACACGGTGCTTATCCGCTACTCCAAAAACACGATAATGTTGACGATCTTGTATCTAACTCTAGGTACCTAGGTAGGTATGTATTGCAGTCAGTCCATGACTATATACATTAGGTAGACTAAAAAGCTTGGACTTATTCGGATACCAACATAGCATCCGTGGCGCAATTTGGATAGGTAGTATATGATTATTGATTGCTTATGTAGAAATGAATTCCAACATTTAACAAAGATAACAAATAGGAATCGATACTATATTCTCCCCTTGCTGTCTCTAAAATAAGATGCCGGAGCTGCCAATGTATTGTACATAGCAGGCTAGCCAGGATAAGTAAGAATCCATCGCGTTGGACAAGGGCAGATTAGGTAGTTTTGCTTACACCATAAAGATGAAGGAAGGGATAAACACGTTGGCAGCGCATCGTGGCACTTGCGTAGAAAAGAGCTGCATGGGGAAGAGCATTAAAAGTTTAACACAGCCAAAGAAAGAACATCAATGGGTGGCACCTATGTACCATGTATTGTACATACCTACCTAGGTATCATTGCTCTTTAAGTCTCCCAGGTACATAATGTACATATATGTAGGTACCTTAGTACCTATGCATGGTATCTAAAAATAGAACAAGAGTACGGATCCGTATGTACCTAGGTGCTTAGGTACGTTCCATCGAGAGCCTCATGATTACGGCTATCTTGTGTGGTTCAAGCAGCGTACCTACCTAGGTATCTACTAACTTAATTATACCTAGACGACCTTTTTAAGCCACATCCAACAACTACACTGCCCGTAGGCTACACCCTTGCGGAGCCCGCAATGATCTGGACCACGGTCCTGGGTTCCGCAATGTAGACAGCCAAATCAAAACCCGGGCCCCTCAATGGTGGTAATAGTAACATGTTCAGCCACCTTTTCATCGACAACGCCTGGTTGACCTAGGGTAGAGTTCGCATCTTTTGTGCCCGGGCAGCACCGCGGTGGTACTGGAGATGCTCTGCGTAGCAAAGGCTTTGGTGCAGGCGAAGACAGAGATGACTTGCTTGAAGGACCAGGCTGAAAAGTTAACAAGTGCATTGTGCTGATCGCGGCTAATACACGATTTTGCGAAAAGCGAAATACCTTCTCCTGGTCGTTGAGAGTTTTCTCTTCTTTCAAGACAAACTCGATCCGGTGATGGAGGTTTGGCGAATCCGACAGGTCCAGTCGGCTCATGAAGTCCGTGACGCTACTGATTTCATGACTGTTTGTAGTGATTATTTCTACGATCCATTGGAACTGGCTGTGATCGTCCTTTCTGTGTGACTGGATTTTGTTGAAAAAATCGCGGGCATATTCGTTATCGCGGCTGACCTGCTCAAGTATCTTCACGAACACCTTGGAAGCTTCTGGGACACCAGTGAGCTCCTTTACGATCTTACAGATATCCCATACTGTTTTCAGGTCGCCTAGTATAGTGAATGGAATCGTAGCAAGATCCATGCTTGCTAAATAGTAAGTAGCGAAGGGTTTGACTTGAGTAAAGAATGATTAGCCATGACGGAACTTCTCTCGTGATTGCGCCTCCAATGAGGCAAATAGCTGCTAGCCCTGTCCACAAGCTCCCGTGTTAAGATGGACCAAACAAAGAAAACGTAAGTTTGAACTTCTCAATTGGGAAGATATCATAAAAGTGCTGGCCTTGTTTATATTATTATTGGATATTAATTTGGACCCATTATGCCAGGCGCTTGGTCTAGCCGATGATATCTATTAGACAGCCGATGGGTGGCAGGAATCCTTTTACAGTGTTAGATACCACGCACCCATCGGTAAGAAGCCGCAATGATGGGTAAAACCACCCTTTCTATAGTCCTCAGTAATCGAGCCACTTCAGGAATTATGACAGCTTCTTAGATAGTTATGGTGGAATACTCTCTTCTGACCATCACCACAACTCGACATAATCACGCGGTAAATTATTAGACTAATCATGGCAACTCTACTCCTAATTCTTAGAAAGTAACGAAAGTACTTGGGTACTCAATGAAAAGTTACTTCTTTACTTCTTTGGTGATTGCTTCTTTGATGGTGACAATGCGATATCCGTCAACAACACGATACTGTATCAAAGCAGGGAAGAGAACCACTTGGGTAGCTGACGAAGGGGGCCATACAACCTCAGTGGTACTTAGGTTTGAGAAGAGTCTGAATCCTAGAACCGCAAATCTCCCCACCAGCTCCTCTAAAACAAGTATAGAGTTCTCTTCTCTTTCTTGAATCCGGAAAGGTTGCAGAGCATCCAAGAGGTCAGCCACTGTTCTCTTGATATTGCCGGTGCGTGGGTCACCTTCTGCCAGCTTATCTCGTGGGTACTTATCTGATAGAATGGTAGCAGTCGCAGCGCGCCAGGTCTCTAGAACAAGTGGCCGGTCTAAGTGCAACTGTTAATTGTATCCTCTGACAGCAGATTTTCAGTAACTTACGTCGTTGCTTTTGAAGCGCTACTTAATAACAACGAACCATATCGACGGGAAGAAAGGTCGTTTCTACTAGACCTCGCGGGTTGGCTCGAGCCCAGAGGACTCTCGCAATGTATGCTCTAAGCGCAAATTGTCGATCACGACCAGTGTTGCATAATCGAGTTGGCCACTGGCTGCTGGAGTGATTATCGGCTACGCCTAGCATGGCATGTATCTTGTTGGTATCCGCGGTTGTTGCATCAACCGGTTGAGTGTGAAAGTAGTTGTAGACAAAGGTTTTGAGGTGTAATTCTAAAGAGGAAAAATTTCTTTCAAGTTCATTGTGGCCGATTGGCTGCAGGAAATGGTCATGCACATATTCAAGACGCGGTATCCATCGAAGATGCGGCGGTCGGCTCGGAGTTGTTGTTAGCTTCAGAGTTGGTCGACTGCGGCGTAATAATAACAGCAACACGGCGGAAACGATAGCTGCGCTGGCGAAGGCACTACCTATCGCAATACCTGCTACAGCGCCTGATGAGTACATATCGTGCAATCTACGAGTTGTCGGTGCCATTGGCAGAGTTGATGATTTCTGGTAAAAGCGGCAAGGTGGAAGGCCCAGATGAGATCTTGTTGAGGCCGAGTTGTAAAAAAGAGAGGGAAAGTCTCTAAAAGGTGGCTTCACTTATATCTGATACCTACCAGGATCATGTATGAGACATTTGGGACAGAGGACGTGTTTAATATGTATTAGGAGCCACAGGCTCCCAAAGTTAGGTCAGAGTTCCCTACGGAACAAAGAAGTCATCTTTGTGTTGTTTCTACATTGTACCAGTATTTCAAGTCTTACACCATGGCCCTACGAGGTATTGACATGGTTATTGGGATAGATGTAGGAATGAGCGGTAAGCAAACTTCACCGAGTGATTGGCGCATTAGTGAAAATGATGCTTACCTTCCAACCGATTCCTACTGACGTTGCATTGTCAACAGGTACGGCCGTGGCTTATAGCAATCTTGTCAAACATGATTCCCTCGATGCTTCTGTAGTGGAGTTCAAAAGTCGGGAAGACAGAAATGAGGCAGAAAAAATTCCTACATAGTTGATTTATAACAGAACAAACATCGACCAGGGCCCTATCGCGTGGGGATTCATCGAATCAGACCAACTGGAATATTGCAGCAACCACGTATATGCCAAGTGGTTCAAAATTGACTTTTGTCACTCTTCACCCTCCATCCCCCAGCAGCAGTCAAGCGAAAATGACCTTCCATCGGTCAACATTATTTATGAACACTTTCTCTTTATACTCTATGGCTACATAGAAAAAAAGCTCAGCGCCACAGAGTTAGAGCCGATGAAGAAGACTTAGAAGAATGCGTCAATAGAGTTCATATTTAGCTTCCTGGCTACCTGGGACAGGGTAACAGTCGACAGATTCAAAGGCCTTGCGAGGAAAGCTGGTTTCGGAGGTCACCCAAAACATAGATTGACTGCTTCTCTCACTGAGCCTGAAGCAGTTGCCATATTCTCGGTCAGGGAAGATCGAATCAGGCTTCAAGTAAGCATTTCTCCATCCATTTCCACAAGATAGAGTCTGACTAGACATAGGATGATAACAACGTACTCGTTGTAGATGCTGGGGGTTATCGTGGATGGAAAGTTACGCGTCAAATGGTAAGCCCCTTTATGCCTGTTGTTATGCAATACTACGTAGATCTTGCTTACTTCAAGGCTACAGGGGTCAATTGAAGTCAATGTTTGACGAGCAAATTAAGGACATTGAAGATAATATTGATAAGATGATAATGGGTGGACAGCGCGTTGTCAGTCCTCCCAGTCCCTAACGTCCACTCATTGACGATCTGCTAACAGTATTGATCAACAGGATCACGTCGTTCTCTCTGGCGGCCTTGGATCTTCCCCATATGTCCAGCAGCAGCTTAAAGCCCGATTCAGAAAGCGGTCTTTATATCTCCAAAATGCTTCCTTTCATGTATCATCCAAGCCACAGTTTTCCGTAAGTAAAGGTCTTGTATATGAACGCATGCGCAGTCTTTGCAATGGGTCATCTACGTCCACCCAGCTTTGTTCCCAAGATTCTTTCGGAATCATGACACACGTGGAATATGACGGCTGGAAATCGTCCCATAGATTGGCAAAGAAGCAAAATGGAGTTAAGAAAAATCCGCTCGATAAAAGGTATTTAGTTAAACATATAACCTAGTTAGCTAATTAGAAAAATAAGAACTTCACTTCACATAATTATTTATACCTAACGCTCATTCTTCGCAGAGAGATAATAGGGGTAAGACTTAAGTAGAGAACCCACAGGCCTCGAGACCACTGGATTCTTGTTTAATCATGAAGCAACATATCAGAATAACGTGTAAAACAATCCAGAAATATGTCTTAGGTACCTGAGATTGTTTTGTCCTACCTTGTTTTGCTTGCGAAAACCACAAGTGTTCGAGTTTCACCTTTTGTCGAAATCATTTGATGCGAAATTTGGGAAATTTGGCAACGAAAGTGAAGAGAAAAGTAAAAATGGCAAATGATAAATGAATATACAAGAAAAAGTGATAAAAAGATAAATTCGAGCCTGGCACGTACTGTTAATGCTGAATATAATACCATTCTCTGTGGCAACTCCTTGTGTATTCTAGTTATTATAAAAAATACTTAAGTTGCCTATTCTGTCTAGCGATCGAGTAACTGAGCACGACTTAATTACGTATCTAGGCTTAGCCGATTCTAAGAGGCGAAACACGAGGAGCATGGACTCAACGAGCGTTTGCTTATGAAGCCTCAGGCCAGTTAGATATAGTTCTGCTTGACCGTAGTATTAGGTACACTTGTCCAATGAAAGCAAAATATAAATGTTGCAAGTTGGTTATATAGATAACTAACCTAGGTAGGTACCTAATGTAAAGTCCTCTTCAATCAACCCCCCCCCGTCTCCTGAATCAAGCTAGACTTAACTTGATACGTCTCATTCAGTTGAGATTGGCAATATGTATGATCTACCTCCGTATATTATGTCCTACACATTGCCGTCATAAGACTCTTCAGGATCCAAATGGTTTTCAAAGCAAATAACCATGCATATCAACATCCTCCCCGTTGCTGTTCATTAGGTTACGCTTCATGTGTAATGGCGTGTATATAATGGAGCTGTCACCGCTTCAGTGAGATGGAATTTCGTATATACGTCTCGACAATTAAAATATCATCGTGCAAATCCGATTTACGAAGTCTTGTTCTGATTGTCTCGTTGCCCGTCTCCAGAGTTGCTTCATAGTTGTATTGCGGTAGAATCCATCACGTTATGTCGGTTCGGGAATCGTGTAATATTTGGAATGTCTCCTGGTGATAGAAGTGATTGCAATGTCGCGGCGGCCTGGCTGCTAGAATCCATCCCTCCCAGCTTCACCATCGTCGGGAATACCATTCTTGGCCGGCTCTTGAATAAACCCCTTACTGTTAGCCTCTTGGATCGCCCGGACAAATATACTACCCATCATCTCATAGCCCTGGACTGTAGGGTGAGAGCCGTCGGGGCCGATCTCATTTACTGAGGGAACCCCTGAAGCGCCCTCACTAGGATGCATCTCGGCTAGGACGACATGTTTTCCATCTGCTTCGAACTTCTTGACAACATCCCGATATTGTTTGTTCATGTCCAGGACCTCTGTCTCGAGGTTGCCAACCTTGTTCGTGAGCATCGTGCTTAGGATGACTGTCGATTTATCGGACGCTGTCAGTAAGTAGTTGATCATGTCTTCCATCTGTTGTCCCACTTTGTCGACATCCTTGTTCTGTAGAAGATTGTTGGTTCCCAGATTTATGAGGAACACGTTGGGTAACATCTTGGGTACGGCCTTCTTGGCATAGTTGTGCATCTCCGTAATTTTCTTGCCTCCATACGCCTCAACGTCGTTATCCACAAAATCGCCTAGTCTCACGGAACCCACCATGTTTACTTCATAACCCAGGTCAACAAGTTGATCACGCATTGGCTTTCGGAACCCCAAATAGCCAGGGGAGGTCTCTCCCTTAACAATGGAGGCGCCGAGAGCCATTATTCTCAGAGGAACATCGCTAGGGCTTGCGGCAGATTTCGCGCCAGTTGTTGTAGCGAAGGACGTAGAGACATCCGAGGACGATGTCGACTTCGATGTAGTAGACGCGGCTGTAGTAGTCTTAGACGTAGAGGATGATGATGTTGTGGATGTAGCTGTAGTGGAAACTGAAGTTGATGTTGGCTCAAGCACACCGACTACTGTTGTCGCTGTACTTGTGGCTACCAAGATAGCCGATGTTGGTGAAGAGACAGCAGCCGACTGTCCATTAAACTTAGATCCATCAGATGAATTGCCAGGATGAACCACGCCTGTCGCTGCAAGAACTAAGCCAATAAACTTCATGTTAGTACACAACTCGACAGTATGTTCCATAATAATAATGCTAATTTTTAGGAACGTACCTATTACCACCACCACTGTGACGAGGAGGCAGCTGACGGCCGTGAAAATTGCAATTCCTTTCTTGGATCGTATAAATGCTAACCGTGAGGTCCGTGGGAGGGCCTCTTGAACCTTCTCCATATCGTCCCCGGCCATATTGTTTACCCAATATTTAGACGCTCCCGAATCTAAGAGGCAAATAGGAGATAGGCTATTCCCAAGACGCGGGACCTTCGAGGTTATTTCAACCTCCCCCTATAATGTTTCTGGATCATGATGAGCGCGGGAAAGAGATTTGCCAAGGCATTAGCTTGACGTTCGCCAGGGTTCCGATTCAATCCAACTTCTTGATTTGACAGTAAGACGCCACATCCTATGCCAAGCAAGACGTGTTTGTTATACTTACCTATCTCACCCGGATACCGGCACGCGACCTATCACGATTTAAGCTTAATAGACGCGGTGGCGGCCAATTATATACCAACCAGGAGGTAGTTTCAATGCGACCTAGCTAATAAACATTGCTTTTCGGAGTTTAACCAACCAACCCATTTCAACGTCGATACGAAATTAATACTATGTAAGTTCTTTCAACAAGGCGTGACCAGTAAAAGCCATATTTACTATTGAAGATGAATGACAGACGTGTTTAACGTGTAAACACTATTAATAACTTTAATAATAATCGGTTTCGGTTAAATGTGGTTTGTTAGTATGAGGCGCAGTGTGTTTATAATAACCCCTGGTATATTTCCACGACGACAAGTTTAATTATCTGACACGCCTTTGCTACGTTTTATTCTCCGTTTTTCGCTTCCCTCGTAGCAGATAAAAGAATTCAATTGGCAAGGTACTGTAGCCCATTGTAATTTTCCCATTTTCTAAGCATTTAACTCTACTGAACATACCACCACAACAGCTATGAAGGATCAATGGTGGGAAGCCAGAAATCCCCCTGCCACCTCCAATGGGCTATCATTTCAGGATAACACTGTGTTGGTAACAGGGGCTAATTCCGGCCCAGGGTATCAAGCAGCGATCAAGTATGCAGCTTTAGGCGCACCACCTCTCATCCTAGATGTCCGATTAACAGAAACGGCGAAGCAGCGAAAGCGGTTATCCAACAAGAAACAGGATTTTCCGACGAAATTATCGGTATGGCGGTTGATTTATCAACTTTTGCGTCTGTCAAAGAATTTGCTAGGCGCTTGGACCAACGAGTATCGAAGCTCGATGTAGCTCTTCTTTGTGCTGGCATCGTAAAACCATCATACTATCGGTCTAGAAGGATATGAGATCTGTACCCAAGTAAATGTATTATCAAATACCCTCCTAGACTTGTTTATTCTCCCGAAGCTGCGTGCGAACATTACTGAATCAGATCACGATGCTCTACCGCATCTATGCTTTCTCAGTAGCTTGGGCTCTCACATGGTTGACCCAACAATGTTCCTAATTGGTCAAATTTTGTTAGAGAAGCTCAGTGACCCTTCTAGATTCGATACTACAGCTCATTATTATCCAGTGAAGCTAGCCGCATTCTTTGCCATACAAGGGATGGATTATTGAGTAGCTCGAAAAGCGTGGAGAAGCTGATAGAATAATTATTAATGCTTGCTGTCCCGACCTGTGTAAAATGAATATGTGGCGCAACTTTCCTCTAGTCTATAGAATTATAATGAATATATCGTACCTTTTTGTCGGACGAACTGCCGAGGCTGGGAACTACACTCGCGTCGGCGCTACTGGGTTGGGCCCAGAGAGCAGTAGGAAGCAATAGAGAAATGACAAGTATACCGAGTAAGTCATCGCAACCATGATATTTATTTTTTCTAACATCTATTTTAGGTTGGGAGACGTGTTAGATAGGTAGTGAGCATGGCCGCGAACTCTATCGGGAAACCTGGCACGAAATTCTGTCTATTCTACAAAAACATTTTTAACGGAGAAGGTTGTAAAATTCCTCTCATTAAAGAGGAGGGGCAGTTTGGACTAGAATATTTATTTCGACTATGTCTTATATCCGACCTAGTAAAGTTGCTTCTTTTATATCTGTCCATAATGATTCTACCTGTGCCTAAGAAACGGACAAAGTCCCCGACCCTTGGGAAATGTTCCAATATGGACAAAGCATATGAGTGTGATTTTGGTTACATCTAACGGATCATAAACCTAGGTGAGTATAGTACTACGGAATGATGGCGCGTAGGATATATTATAGAGCACCTCCCTCGGGTATTGCTTCATATAGGAGACCCTCAACGATGGAGATTAACAGGCTATGCCGTATCGACTGTCCTCTTACTGAGAAAAAGAAAAAGAAAAACAAGGGAAACCACTGGAAACACCAACTAGAATGGAGAGTTTCGCACAGTCATTTACCTAGGTAGGTAGGTAGATATCAACTAATATAACCGGTAAAATTAGGGCAACTATAGTGGGATCCAAACCCACACACGCTTGATGCCCCCACAAACTTATACCAAAGAAACAAAAAGATACTCTCGATCGGGGAATCGAACCCCGGCCACCTGCGTACTTGTGCGATGACAAGCAGGTATCCTGACCACTAGACCAATCGAGAATGAAATCGAGAATTAGATGAATCTTAGCTTCCCAGACGATGAAAATTTGTGTCCAATTTCAACTTATAATAACGCAACGAATCATGTTGAATACTATTAGAGTCTATGCGAATTTGATTTTATTAAAAGTGACATTTGAATGGAACCAGAGATAACATAAAAAGAACTGGGCATATAAAGACTACATGATCTATAGAAATAAATATCAAGAGCCGGGGTTTGACGCGACTCTTAAGGCACTGGCAGATGGTATGCCTCGTCTAAACTTCGAGCCTCGCGGTTGAAAGCATCGGTTATGCTCATGCGGGCGTTTGAGAAGGGACCTTTTGAAACTCGTATCCATCCGAACTAGATACATTTAACAAATTCTGCTGGCTTTTCTTGAAGATAAATCCGGGATGAGCAATCATGAGGCAATATACGGCAAAAACAACTAGCCTATAACGAATAATTAGCATGAAATATAATATTTTTATGCCAAAGGGAACTCACACTCCTTCTAAGCCTATAAACAAAGGCTCGTCACGAATAAGCTCGCCCTTATACCCATCACGCAATTCAACAAGCCGGTACGTGCATCGAACTAAAATCAGCATTATGGCCAAAGTCATAAAGCCGAAGAAGACCTTCAGTCTAGTCCCAAAATCCAAGCCGGATATGTTTCTTCCTAGGTCTGCTTGGTATTGTGTAGATCGGAAGTAGCGGATTAAGTAATCTCCAAAGAGGCCGCAGAAGATCACCAGCATAGCCACTTGCAAACTAAGGCCAACAAGCGCCATGTCTACCCCAATCTCACTCGTGCCTGAAGATGCGGTGGATAGACCACCTCCGGCCGCTTGGAATATCAAACAGACGAGATCGGATGGAATGAAGACCCAGTAGAAAAGGTCAGGTCTGAAGCGGGAAAGCGAAGGAGAGAAATCTTTGATGCTATGTGCAAGTTAGCTAATTGAAGACAGTCGACAGGCTGTAGCGTATTGGAAAGAGACTGGGAGTCATAGGGCTGTTACTTACGCCGCTGCAAGTGTCACATATATGGCAGCTGAATAATAGACCGGACCACTGGTAACACAAACTATTATATTTTGATTAATACCTTGACGGAGATGATAACGGTATGGGTAGGCGAGACGAACTGATTTGAATCATAAAAGCCGCAAAGTTGAACGGGTTATAATGCATGGAAATCCGAGCTGCGTATCCCAAAGTGGCATTGACGGCGCCGAGAACCATACATCCCATGAAGAACCAACTCTTCCATCGAATCCCAAGGTAGACATGTATGCATGCAGAAAGGAGGTAGAGACATAGGAAGACGGTGTTGGCAGCGAGACTAGGCGCGTAGCCATACACGCTTATCTCCACGGGGCATATTTCTAGAGTACAGTTGCCACTAGGCCCGAAGACCTTGGTGTATGGCGGTACGCCTGGTGGGAGACCTGTCGACATATTTCTTCAGTTTCCTGGTAGCTTTATTCGAGTATACTCTTTGCTAATAAGTGATGTGGTACGGTCTGGGTGGAAAGTTTGGAAATTATCGGGGATAGCTTGAACACGAAGGCAGGTAAAGCAGACATGTAAGGAGTGTAGGGGATAGTTCTGAACCGCGGACATACAGCAACCTAAGAGTCGAATGGTATATATAGAAGAAACTATGAACGGAGGTAGTCAAAAATAAGGCGTAAGACGATTTGGACCTATAAATATATCTGATATTGACCCTCTCTATCATATATCTCCCAAGAGCTGAAACATCATTGTTATTTCTTCTAACAGCAGGCCGCGTGGCAATCCCGCCGTATATTCCAGGAAAGCCAGAACCCGTAGTGTGAACTTGGCGTAGCCTCTTCAGAAGGGTTATCGCTAAGTGATTTCATGGTGATCGGTTGCTAAATTATCACCATCCCCAGATTCTCTTCGCACCCGCTACCATCCGACCTCTTCATTGGTTCTGGTAGACTCCAGTCCCGGCGGCGCAGCGCTTGGCAATCAACCGAATGCGATCGAGCCAGGGCTACCATTGGTTAGACACTAGATCAAAACCATATCTTGAAGATGGCGGACAAAAATTCGTCCGACGTCGATATCATCGTGAGGCTCTGGCATATCCTTATTGAGCTGCGCCAGTGGGATGCTATATTTCTAGAATGTGATGCAGCGTTGTCAAGGGTAATCATTGGAGCTATACTCAAACGATGCCTAAGGAATGATATGACATCAATTATATTGCCACGTAAGCTACATTATATTTTCTCCCAGAACAGTACATAATTAAATCCTGAAAGAAGTGGTTATAAGCTATAAGTAAATATTGTCTAAGTCATATTTCACTAATAGGTATGGTGTGTGTATGTACTTCTTTTATTAAATAATAATTGCTATGTAAAACAAGCCAACTAGACTCCTATATAGCCGATTGTATTGTACTAAATTGAATCCACCTTGGATGAAGTATATATAGGTAGGTAGTATATATGTAATATAGTAGGCTAAGAAAAGGACCTGTCCGCACTGCCAAGAAACAAGCTCCAGGCTTGATACCTACAAGTCCGCTCGCACACCGTCGTGCTAATGAACCCACGTACGAATCGGCTGGTCCATAACTTCATCGACCCACCGAATCCTGCGATTCCACACATCTGGTTCAACCGATGTACGGCTACTCAACAGGTTTCCAATATGGACAGCCTCAAGAGCCTCGAGCACGTGCTCTCCCTTGTCGACATTGTAGATCCTAGACGACCGCTTCCGCTCTACCGGAGTTCTTGACGAGCTTTTCTTGTACATGCGACGCTCGTGGTTGTCTGTCCAGCTGTAGGAATGTAATAGAGAGTCGTAGCAAAGGCGCTGGAAGGTTTCGCAGGCCTCTATCGTAGGACCGTCGAAACCGGCCTCGACAGCAAGTTCCAAAGCCTTGTCAGCTAGCTCCAGCGCAAGGCCCTGCTCAGCGCGGGTAGGTGCTCGGCCGAGTATGTGAATAATTCGTGACGCCTCAGCGTGGAGGGCGTTGATGGTATCTATGGAGGACATGATGTACTGTAATGTTGGGGATGTGATGGGCGGGTTTTCTTCTTGTTCTTTTGTGTTATAGCTGTATGTCCTCTCTAACTGTAAGGCGAAGTTGATAGCTCTGAAGAAAATTCTAAATATTAGAAACTTAAGAGTGTTTAAATAAGAGATTGCAAGCTACAATGGCCATTGTGAAGACTTTGTGTCTTAGGATTCATTTTACATCATCTGACTGATTTTACAACAATTGGTCTTGAAAGAATAATTCAATACTATTGTGGGAGAACAAAGGGAGAATCTCAAGGTGTGATGCTGCCCTTGAAGATTCTTTCAACTTGTCTTTGATAGGTTTCCCATTCATGGATTATGCGATTGTGCCCAATCGATAGGCATCTAGATGATCAAGATGATGTGGAGCAGAGTACTATGTTGACCGGCAGGCAGGTAGTTAATGTCCACCGGAGTTTACGGAGAATTTCATTAGCGCCGGCGTTCAGCTATATGAAAAGGAGGTTACAACGGTCTTCACCATGAAATTTACTATCACATTATTTAATATAACAATAACGGAACATTATAAATTGGACCGCAGTATTCTCACTTTGCACAATTTTAGCACCCCAACTCTTTGAGATTCTTCAGTTTTATAATCAATCTAAACGTTGCTTATTACCCGCCAAAATGTCTGCCGGGGCCGTCCAGGAGACCACCTTTCGGTCCTTTACCCCCGCCGAAGCGTCTAACTATGCTCAATTCCGACGGGATTACCACCCCACACTATACAAAACCATCCTTAGCCGGCACACATCTACCGGTGGTCAGCTTGACACTCTCCTTGATGTTGGTTGTGGACCAGGCATCGCCGTGCGCGCCCTCGGCACGCGCTTCCAGCATGCTATCGGCTTTGACCCTTCGGAGGGCATGATTACAAGCGCGAAGGAACTTGGCGGGACCTCTGGAAGCGGAGAGCCGATCCGCTTCGAAGTCTCCGCTGCTGAAGATCTCTCCGGAATTTCGGATGGTAGTATCGATCTTCTTACCGCCGCAACTGCTGCGTGAGTACGACCAAATAGATATTTCCATTTTTTAGTTCAACATACGCTTCTTTTAAAGATTTACTAATCTTTTTTTTAGCCATTGGTTTAATATGTCGGCATTCTGGGCAAGGGCGGCGCAGGTTTTGAAGCCGGGTGGAAGCGTGGCGCTGTGGACGTGTAGGAGTGCGAAAATTGCGGATAGTGTTCCGAATGCCGCAGCGATCCAGGCCGCGGTTGAAGCATTTCATAAGGAACACCTCGTAAAGCACATGGTTCCCGGGAATTTCTTATCACAGGGCTTATACGTTGATCTACCATTGCCATGGGATGCGGAGCCTCCTGTCACGGATTTCGACAAGGAATCATTTTCCCGCATAGAATTCGGAACTGGAAATGAGGGCGCCTTGCCAGGAGACCAATTTTTCGCGGTGGGAGAGCCGCAGGTGGGTCTAGATAAGCTGGAGGCCTTGATGGGGACGGCGAGTATGGTGAAAAGATGGAGGAAAGAGAATCAGGAGAAGGCCGGGACGGAGGAAGATATCGCGAGGTTGATGAGAAGGAATGTTGAGCGATTGCTTCACGAGGCGGGAGTAGAAAAGGGGAAGGAGGCTATTAAGAGAGCAGAATCGGGTGTGCTACTGATAGTTAAGAAGAAGGCTTGATTTCACTTCACATCTTTGGAGGGCTAACTTAGCATATCTGCCATTAAGCTCTTACAGTTATTGCATCTATAAGCCGAGTTTTGGGATCTATTCTTATTTGACAGAGGCTTCACCCCTATTGCGTAGCCCGGTATATTAAATCATACTTGGGTATCGTTTCCCTTATAATAGACTGTGATATACTTCCAGGCTATGGCCTGTGTCTGACAATTCGATTCGGGGCCTCCAATGAATGCCCCCATCTTCGAGCTTTATGCAGTGCACGCAACCTACTCCACTATGAGGGGATCAGCCAGATTGTAAGCCAATAATCCTATATGCAGTCCTACCATAACCCCTGAAACATTTGGCTTAGATAGCTCTGCCGGCTGAAGAGCTGATTGGTTTACGAAAATCACACATAGCAGTGGTAGGATCTCTCCTCTATTTTGTGGCTGTGTTGCAGGAACAGCTGTCGACTCAGCCTCCATTCACGAATATTCACTTCGGTGAGGATGGCAAACAGAATGGTTCAGTAATTGTTCAATATGCTCATATTCCACTCTAATTCCTTCCATCCCGTGTGAGGAGGTTGGTTACCGATTGTTAAACTACAATAACTATTATCCAATGCGGCTTCTCCATGTCCATACAAGAAAACTGGAGGAATTCAATGGAGACTCCATCCCGCCCTATGCTATTCTAGTGGGTATACCTCCAGTTCGTCTCTGTCAGAAAGCCCCAGATACACCATTGGGCTTAAGGGTAGTGAACCCAAGTGAGAGATGCGTGTAGTGATCTAATTACTAACACGAATTGGTAGTCTCACACGTGGTGCAAACATGAGATAACTTTTCAAGATCTTTTAAAATGGGGTCCCAAGATCTTAGATGGCTTTGCAAAAATAGAAGGATGTTGCCAGCAAGCAGCAAAAGATGGTCTGCACTATGTGTGGATTGATACTTGTTGCATTGACAAGTCAAGCAGTGCTGAACTTTCCGAAGGCATCAACTCGATGTTCCAGTGGTATAAGAGGTCCACGGTATGCTATATATACCTAGCCGATGTATCCGCAGAAGATAATCCATTCGAGCTATTCTCTGAGTTTCGACGAAGTCGTTGGTTTACTAGGGGTTGGACGCTCCAAGAAATACTCGCGCCTATGGAATTGGTGTTCTTTGACAAAGCCTGGAATCAAGTCCAAGTCGGTCGGCTTATTCGAGCGGCGAACTCATCCCGAGGTCAAAACTCGAGTGCGCTACCTAGACAAGAAAAGTACCTCAATCGGTTAGGTCTGCTTACTCTTCTCTCCGAAATTACAAATATCCCGATGAAGGCTCTTGATACCGGAGACTTTTCAAAGTTCTGCGCTGCAGCCCGGCTAGCATGGGCCGCCAACAGAAAAACAACGCGGGTTGAAGACGTGGCCTATAGTCTTCTAGGTCTCCTGGAAGTTAATATGCCTTTGCTTTACGGCGAAGGCGATAAAGCCTTCCTACGTCTCCAAGAAGAAATCATAAAATCACGCAATGATGATAGCTTATTGGCTTGGGGGTACCGCCTAAGACCAAATGAACGCCCCAAAATATATGCTGACAATGTCCTTGCTCGGTCACCTTCGGACTTCACTCATTGCCACAGTTTCCAGAGTCTGGAAAGCGACGAAACAAGCCCTCAGGTGCCGTTAACAACTTCTCATTCTGTAATGACCAACATTGGAATACAGACGGCAATTCCCATCCGACCTATTGATCCAAAAATTGGTGTATTTATGGCCATTCTCAGATGTGCTTTCACCGTAGATGGCTACCGATGTCATCTGGTTGTTCCGTTGGTTAACACAAAAGGTGGAGACAAGAATCACTACAGCCGGGCATCAGGCAGTCCACCATTCCATATCCAAAGAGCCAAACTATTTTCCATTATTAACAACTCGAGATTTTTATTTTTACTTAGTCGCGTGCCATTATTGTGGAACTGTTTTGTCAAGAAGGCATCAACAGCCCCTATCTACATCCGAAAGAATCCCTTAACAGCACCGCCACGAGTATCTTGGCCAAAGTCCAGCAAAAATGAGAATGAGACAATGAGCTTATATATAGACGAGCTAATATCCTCCGGGTATGAGCTCTCTTCTTTCTATCCACCCTGGATAAGCAAAAAGGCAGCGAGTGGCAGCAGTCTTGTTTTGCGATTCGGTTCACGGAATTCAGCAAGATTCGTGCTTATATTTTCGAGGCCAAAGAAGTTTTCTAAGGGATATCTGTATTTTGCCGTTTGTATAAGCCAAACGACATACACGATCTCAGAAGTTGAGCACGGTTCTGCTTTAGAGTATCTGATGGAACGGAGCCATAGTTTAGAAATTAACATGGGTCGCCATGGAATAAAGCAAAAGGAGCTTAAATTGGAAGAAGAAATAACGGACGGGGGCGTTCGACTCATCCATCATATATCGTTCAAGTACATGTTTGGCGATATTAGAATTAGCTGTAGTACCGGCGTGCTCAACGCTTCACAAGCTCTCCGAGCGCTGTACTTGAATTAATAAATGATACGAAATCCGTATACTCATATATTCGCTCTAGATACCTAATGCAGAGACTTCTAAATGCCAGCAATCATATGGGAGAGTGTCATATATATAAAGTAATAACATTTAATATGTAATTTTGGCATGACGATACGATCTTGCAGGGAATGTACGGCATGTCATATTGCTGTTATACATCCTCAAGGCTAAGGTCCGGTACAGCAACTAAGTAATATATATTAGGATTAATTATAACTTATTAATAGAAAAATAGATACTTAAACATTAGAGGATAGAAGTGTGTGCCGATGGAACATCCAGCCGTCCTAATATGGTGATGGGGTGGAGGTGATTCTCATCGGGGAGATAATGACGGATCCGAAAAGAAGACGAATCACAGCCCGCAAGTACATGCAATGCAACACACCTACATTGAGAGGCACATATGATAGACCCCAATCTGACGCGTAAAACTGACAATTACGCGAACATAAGACCCGACTTGCGGATCACTGTTGTGACCGCGAACTTCAATTTAGAATGAACGTCTTTGTTACCAATCAATTGGGGTCAACCACACTCCAAAGACAGGGAACTCGTCCTAGAATGAAACGGAAGCGGAGACTATCACCTAATAGCGCTCAGGGGTGGACGCGTACGTTGTTTATTCTCTCTCTCGAAAAGCTGATAGCTCTTGTAACTAACTTGAAAGGTAGCACCATTGAGCAACTCTCAGAGCAGCGATAACCTATCCAATGACTGTCAACTGGGCCTGGTCTCGATAGTTCAGGCTGTCCACAACGCGAACGTTCAGTATAAATCTATTGTCGATGAATATTTGCGATGGCGAAATAAGTTACGGACCCAGTCTAGCTCCAACCGGAACTCGACGAGATTCAGCAACGACGATCTCCAAACCTTGGACGAAGTTATGAAAGCCTACCTCTCATTAGATCAGCCTGTTGCTTGGCAACTACTGGTAAACTTGGGCGAAAAGTCTTATATCGATATATGGAAACGGGCTGCAGAGAACATGGCGTATTTGAAGAGTCTCTCGAAGCACCAGACACCGAAACACCTGGGAAGGGCGAGGAACCGAGCCGTCGATCTTAAGAATTGCCGAGTCACGGTAGAGAGTAGCTTCAAACTTGTAGAAAAGGAGCTTCGGGCTGCTGGGTTCGATCATTACTGCGAAGCTATTCTCGCGAAGAAAGATATGCTCTTGAAGTACGAGGAAGCATACCCCATATTACCGGAGTCTCGCCCAGTGCCAGAGATCCATCGGGAATCACCACTTACCTTTCAGATGTCGACCCTCATTTTCATCGTCTTTATAGTGGTAGCGATAAGTATCATCCCCATGGCTATAGCCTGGTCTAAATCAACCAATACGCCAGGCTCTACCGGAGATTCGGACTTCTGGGTGCAAGTCCAAAACGCGATATTACAAGTTCTAGGCCTCTCTACGACCATGCTTGTCGCTCACCAGAGGCTATTAAACGACAAAACTGCTTGGAATTATGCTTGTTACTTTACTATCGCTGGTGTTATATGCTCCATTCTTGCGATACCGGTGTATTTACTTGTGCCGACTATATGGTCTTCTTTCTCATCCTTCCTCTCAACTATTATGCAGAGTGGAGCGACGCTCCAACTAGCTCTAATAGCGGCGATGCCTAAGCAAAAGCAGCTCTGAAGGGAACCCGGATTTTGCTCCTGGTATTATATAGGCCTCATCTCTACGCCGGCTTCAGAGGAATTATAGTGGGACGAGATAGGGGTTAAGCCATTAGCATAACAAATGAAAGATAATGATCATTAACTTTTAACTTAGGTAACTAGGTAGTTATAAGAATATCATGTTAGTTAATTAATGTGATATTATTAACTTTAAAGTATACCTATACTATCTCGTACTTCTAAGCGCAAATCAGTAAATTTGAGCTTAATCAGGATACCCTTTCCTTAAGAGTTAGGAAATACATATTATAGCTGTATAATAGGCGCGACGGTAGGTTCTTGCAACGCTACGTTGCACTGCGGCAAGTCGATCCCGTATGCTTCGCTAACAAGCTCCGTCGCATTGCTATCGTCCGTCGTCTCCGGTGCGGTATACCACCTCCTATTCTTGAGGTCGCCGTCCTGAGATTGATCGAAGAAGTTCTGCGGCGCAAACATGATGCTGCTGACGGCTTCGGAGTACAGTGTTACAGGGATATCCTCGCTGCGCGTGAAGTGGTGCATGCCCAGGTTCAGCCACATAACGAGGTCCGCGCCCTCGACGCTTTCGCCGTCTAGGAACTTGGAGAAGTCTTGCTGTGGCTTCCAGGGCATGTTGAGGTTTTGGATACTGTTGCCCCACGGCTCTGTATCGTGCTGCCGCGTTACGACTAGATGCGATTTAGACAGCGCGGTGTTGTGCCGTGAGAACGGCGACCTTAACGTGCTGAGCCGGATGTTCGATTTACCTGGCACGATGCGGTATCCGCGCGGCGAACCCCATTTATTCGTCTCGCTGGCGTGGTTTACTGCGTACATGACTTGCCCATTATTTGCCCAGCTTAGCTCTCGCTCTTTTTTCACATTATAAGTCTCCAGCGCAATCTGTTCGAACTCGCCGAGCTCCGGCCACCATGGCTGCGTCGTATTGACCGCCTTGAGCTCTGTTACTTGAAGGTTATTCTCGGTGCCGAGGATATCAAAGTCGGCTTTCCAGGTTAGCACATGGTCGTGTAATGATCCTTGCGTAGCCTCTTGGATGCGAGGACCCCACGCACCCTGGTCGCGGAAGAAAAAAGAGGATTGCAGATACCCCGATGCTCGAACCGTGATCTCCAAACTGCCATCAATGTGGAATCCGTAATCGAATAGATAGTCGTAATTCCCTACGGTGGCGATTGAACGCAGTGTCAACAACGATCCTTTCACGACGCCCAGGTTGGAAAAGCCGTAGTCGTTAGACACGCCCCCTCCGCGGTGTCGAGATAGGGGGAACCCTGCATCGGACTCAAAAATACAGATGGAATTAGGATTGACGGTAGATGTATTTCCATTATGAATAATTACGTTCCAGAATGTAGAGCCGAAAGGACAGTCAAACCCCTCAACCATAGGGAACAAATCGGCGCCTAACTGGAAATATGTATCGTGATACAGGGTCGAAGCGGCCTTTGGCTGGAAACCGCCGTATTGCGCAGCGGCTTCTTGCATCGATAACTCGTACAGCACCCGATCACCTTTGAAGCGAATATCATAAAGCATGATACCGAGGGTCTGTGAGTGCGCAACGTAGAATGACCATCCCAGGTACTCGACGTACTTCTGCTCCGAGTCCAGCTTATACCGCTTACCACCAACTTCGAGGTTTTGCGGCGCGAACTTATCTTCTAGCTCACGAGTCCCCATCGCGGCGTTGTACTTGACCAACGCCCAGTCGTAATCGGATGGCTGGTAATACTCTTCGACTAGCTCGTCTGCTTCGAATGCTGCTCGAAGTTCTGCGACCGTCCGAAAGAATCGCGTGTTCGTCACCAGCCCCTTGAGTTTATACAGCGAAGCATCTGTACCAGTGGTGTCGAGCATGACGTAGAAATCTAGCGGCCTCAGATAACTAGCAGACCCAGGAAGCCTAAACATAATAACTTGAAATGCCTGACTCCCATTAAATGACGTGGGGGTAGTAGGAGCCGCTACCAGAGTCGACTTAGGATCGCTATAGCCGTAGAAAACACCACCCAGGAGCGCAGACGTAATATCAGTGAGGTTGGACATCACGGAAACTAATAGGGGTTCTGCAGCCTCACGTCGCTTATCATCGAAAAACCGCCCATTGAAAGGCACGGCACCTCCTGTCCCGCCATTGAACGGATAGTCCAGTTTCTGGATAACAGTCTCACTTGACACAGGCAAAGGGCCGACCATGTACTCTTGTGACACCGGCTCAGGTTTGCCGCCTTCGAATATGATGACCCGCGCCCACGAACTAGGCCGTGGCCCTGATCCATCTAGGTATGGAAGTACATCAGACTTGTTGACGGGTACGGTATCTATATACCATACGTAGTTGTCGTTTACCTTCGCCGTATCTGGATCGGTTAGATTTAACTTAGAACCAGGGTCGTGAAGAAGATTCCACACAGCCAGATTATCCTCCGGTGCTATTTGAGCCCAGGGATTGGCTTTTGGGGCAGTCACTTGTTCTGCTGGTTCATATAGTGAACATGTTGAGCATGAGGCCGTCTTGGATGAATCGTTGCCCAGAGCGAATTTGGGTAATAATGTCTGTCTCTGATAGCCTATCGGTGGTATGCCAGCAGCATTTCCAGATGCGGCAAGAAATAGGGCCGTGTAGGCGAGTAGCAACATCATATTCTCTATAGCTAAAGAACCACGCAATCGTATGTTAGGATTGAAGAAACATTGACTAGCGATCCTCATTGTAACAAGGCATTTATACCCCTCTGTGACTCCAACCTCCAACCGGCAATTGGGGCCTTTTATAGTCACACCAGCACTACATGGCACCTATAGATGGAACTTATACAGTTGTTGCGGACAGGTAGAGGATCGTCGATAACGACATCGGAACATCATTGCTGGTACTTGACGGGCCTCTCCGTTGTTTGCGGGTAGGTAGATAAGAACCCAGTAAGGAGCGATTACCCACTCCGGACCCCGACATGCTGCGAAAGCAATTAATAGTATATTTCCCCAGTTATATGTTGGCAGCCAAGGGAAAATGGTTGCGTTGGTGTAACGTAGGCCGGCTCCGACTTGGAAAGATATAAGATAGGTAACTCCTATCAGCATTCGGATAAGCATCATATACCCCTAAGTGAGGTAGTTACAAATGAGTAAGATAAAACTTAGTAAGACTATCGCACAATGGAAATAGAGAGCACAGAAACAATTGCATACTTAATATATAAGGCGTAATATAAAGGAGACTAGCGCTACAACTACCCCTGAGGCGTAACCATTTACATCAGTCAGGTTAACAATATATAGCGTTTAATCAAGTGAAGCAGAGTTAAATCGGGCAAGGACTTTTTATCAAGACAAATTCAAGTATATTACTGATCTACTTTAATACAGGGGATTTTTTTTTCTTTCCTTTTCTTTCCTTTTCTTTCGTTTTTCTCTTTTTTTTTTGTTTCTTTTCAAACTATTTTTCCATACTTAGATAACTCCTGTACGAAGGAAAAGACTTCAGGGGACTCATATATCCCTCTAGCTCTCAAGCACTAATAATTACTTTGACGAAGGCGTTAGGGTGTGTATCGCGCGAGCAGAAAACGATCCGCCGTTGGACGGAACTTGTTTCATCTCTGGCTGGCCCTTTGTCGTCGGCCCGGCCGCTACCCATTGAATGGGCTGTGCCGGGTTTTGGGCTTGGGACTGGCCTTGAGGTTGAAACTTAGGTTGCCCCTGGCCCTGGTATTGTACTTGGTGCTGACCCCAAGTTCGTGATTGATTTTGACCCTGGGGTCCGACTTGCTTTCGAATTCGGGGTCGAGGCTGGGGCCCTGGAGCAGGAGCAGGAGCGGGGGTAGGGGCCGGAGCCGGTGCAGGCGCCGGAGCGGGTGCGGGAACAGGTGCGGGAGCAGGGCCAGGAGCTGGTGCTGGTGCTGGTGCTGGTGCTGGTGCTGGAACCGGGACGCCGGTAGGGGCAGGAAAAGGGGCGGGAAAAGGGGTCGGAGTTGGTGGTAGAGTGCGAGCGGGGTTATCCCCAGACTGTGATGTGAAAGGCTCAGGGAAGGTAGGGCCCTGTTCGATGGTACAATAAATTTTAAAGTACGTCAAGGCGATCACAAGTGCCTTGACGGCCTCCCACCAGTTGCTGGTAAAGAAACGATAATCAGCCATCGTGAGTGCGAATGCATCAAAAGAAGCGAATAGAATATGACCGCATAAGTCTCTAAACCAGTAGTCTCGACGGCGACGTATTGTAGGGTATAATCTCGTACGAACGGTCCAGAGGGTCGCCATGAACAGGACCCAGCGAGTTGTGGAGTTGAGAAATCCATTACTTTCAAACTGGACAATAACATCTGCAGCTGAGACGAGCAACCAAGGCGCCAAGCCGTAGATGACATCGCCTACTTGGAAAGTTGTGACTGGGCCTAAAAGAGAGGACATTGTGCACTTAGCTTGAGTACTCAAGTAGTAGTGTTGGCTTTGAATTGAGAGTAAGTCTGTTAAGATCTGGTATTCTGTAGAAATTGCTTTTTGACAGGTTTTTTTATTTGATCTCGAAGGTGATACTGAATGATCTGTTCAAGTTATTTCCTAGACGAAGTCGTAAATGCCATCATATATAGCCTTCTAATCCCCGGTGTTGTTTAAGAACAGTAGCCCAGTTCCTAAACGATAGATAGCTAGTGGGCACATATTAGATGTTACAGATCAGGAACAGGCAGTTCGAATTGCTTCATTCCTGGGGGGGCCTGTTGTTCAATTTCGATAGCATAGCCTATAGCTATTTCCAAAAATATTGTTCTATAGAATGAAAGAGTGAGAAATTCCATTGTTATACTCAGGGGTATGCTGGGACAGATTCATAATCGGACGCAAACAATGTCATTATATTAGGTGCCCAAGAACACTTTTGACAATAAAATAGTAGCTTCTTTCCTCGCTATAAGGTCTTATATTGACGCTCTCTAATTTTATTGATTGCCCAAGGTATCGTGCTAATCAGTTTAGCAAAAGAAAACAAAAAAAAAATACAAAAAGGAGCTGTTACCCCATTCCTCTCTACTAATTTAATCTCACCCATTATGTACGATCTGAACACGTAGGTAATCATTTATTTCTAGGCATACTCATCTTGTTCGATCTACAGCTAGACTTTGCCACAATAAACCTACCCTCTCAGACGAATATTTACTATAGCGAATTCGGACTCGTGTTCTTTTAATTCGTTATGGCGCAGTATTTCTGTGGCATCTCTCTACCAACAAACGATAAAATCACCGTGGAGACGACCCTTCCCGTCTTAGAGATACAAACGTGGGCCAACCCTATCATCACCGAACGCCTTATTATTCGGCCACTTCGTTTAAAAGATATAGAGGGATTTAGTGCCCTTCGCAGTCAACCAGAAGTCACAGCTTTAGCTTATGAAGGTGGATCTGATCCTGAATACGACCTAAACTCCAATTTTGAAGCACTAATAAACTATCTCAGACCTTGGATGAAAGCGAACATATATTTTGCAATCCTCAGTCGGACTGCAGATGGAGAAGAAGGAGAATACATTGGTGAACTGTGTTTACAGTTTGGTAATGGTTGGCCTAGTATTGGTTACATGTTCAGAAGAGAGTATTGGGGTCAAGGGTGTGCGACTGAGGCCGTTAAAGGCTTTATGAAATTTTATTGGGATCTTCCTCGTGGTGCTGCAACCCTGGTGGTACACCCTGCTACTATACACGGACCTGGGGGTGAAGAAGAGAAGTATACTAATACTCCGCCTAAAGTCAAGGAGCGAGTGCTTGGTGAGGCGGAAAGACTTAACGGTTCAAGTCAAAGGGTACTTCTAAAAGCAGGGTTTGAGCAGATCGAGCGAATATTCACTGGCTTGGATCTTTTTCAATACATCTTCCCTCTGGCTCAGGTTGACCTTGAAGCTTACCGCGAAATGTATTGGAGAGGGTATAAAGCGCGCCCTACCTAGATAGCCGACTGACACGCGATTAATGGAACTCTGGCACTTTAAATAAAAGTTGAAAATAGGTTGAAATGAGACTTGGACACATATGGGGATGGCTTGTTACATCACCCGAAAGTTGCTTTTGTTAAATTTTTATTTTTTACATTGTGTTTTATTGTTTTATTTAAATGCCCCTAGTATACGAAGGTGATACGGGGTTGGAATAGATGTTGTATTGGGAAAGGTTTATAATTAGTGGGCTTCGCCCACTAATTTTCAGTATAGCCAGTAATTATGTAATCCCTCCCACAAAGGCTAACGCCCAAGTTATCCTAGCCGCCGCATGATAGAACCATAACATGATGGAGTGGCGGAGTAGTGGAGCTGTGTTGCGTGGCTCGGGGAGACCCCGCTTTATCAGCTCCGGGACCGAAGCTTTAAAGGTTACGGCGGAGATCCGGAGCCACAAAACTTTACCGTTGCGTACTTAATTCATAACTTTAAGTCCGGCATGAATAATTCGAGTAAACATCGGGAATATTTCATCATTATTTCTTCCGGAAAGGGATGTTGGGATAACGGTCACGTGACCTCGTCACATGACCAGGGTTATGCCCACACACACCGCCCACGCACAGCCCACGCATCTGTACAATAGATATCTTTCCCCACTCGGGGGAACCCCTCCTCTCTTACCTTAGAACAACCAATCAGAACACGATCGTTATTTGCATTCCCTCTCATATTATTACGTAATACATAGTCAATCCAACAAGGGATTTTTCTTATTAAGTCCTTGATGGATCCAGAAATCAAGAAACTGGTCTGCGACAACTGCTGGCGTGACTTTTTCTCCGCCGAGTCTTTCAAAATCGCCTGGGATGCTGACTCCGAATTTGCGTATACCACCCCGCCGTGGGCGGAGATGGAAGATTCTATCGAACATATGTGCGAATGGTGCGATCTTTTGAATGAAGAGATCCTGTTTTACTACCGACGTGGTAAACACCGCAAAGCAGAACCGCAGCCTGACGCTACTTTCAGCGTAACTGTCCGGTTTGTGAACCGCACGACGACTTCGCCTCTAGAACTTAGTATTTCTATTGAGAACAGCTGGAGTCCTTCATTTCTAGTCTTCACCACACCGGAGGACATTGCGGCGCGTCATATCAGTGAACGTGGTGTGTTGAATAGGCTGGACACGCCTGAAAGCTATTCCCTTGCACTTCAGTGTATTCGTGATTGCGAAGCAAACCATACGCGCTGCCCGCCACCTACAGCTGCAACTCTACCAATTCGCGTTATCGATTGTGTAGACGTTACTTGTGTACGGTTATTCCAACGCAATGGGCAAACGCCACCCGCCCAATATGCAGCGTTAAGTTATGTTTGGGGGGAAGAGCAGCCGCATCAAACTACGGCTGCGAGACTTCCCTCATATCTCCAACAGATCGATACCAAGTATATCCCTGCAACAATCAAGGATGCTATCAAGGTAACTCGTGCTCTTGGTCTGCGATATCTCTGGGTCGACGCTTTTTGTATTGTCCAGGACTCCAAAGAGGATAAAGCTAGAAACATCGCCCAAATACGGAATATCTTCCGTCATAGCTACATCACTATCATTGCTGCTAATGCGAAAAAGGTCAGTGATGGGTTTCTCAACCGAATGCTATTATATAATACCCCTAGTACGGTTCCATTCCGCTGTCCCGATAGTGATGATGCCGTTGGGACTATGTACTTACAGAAAGGTAATCCTGCGCCGCGCGAACCAATTAACGCGCGAGCGTGGTGTCTGGAAGAACGCGTCTTATCATCACGGGCACTTTGGTACTGCAGCCACACTATTCAGTATGAGTGTCAGAATGGACACAAGAACGTCGACGGAGGGGGTAATATGGCCGATCCGCTTGATGGTGTCCCGAGGCTTCCCGACCGTTTATTTACACCTGGTCTCGCTCTTAATGCCATCCCCACGCACGGCATCTCCATTGACGCAGATATCAAGGGGGTGGCCGAAAATGAGGAAAATGAGGTAAATAAGGCGTGGGATAACATCCTCACATTGTACACGCGACGGACACTGACTAAGCCCCGGGACCGACTTATTGCTCTATCCGGTGTCGTAGACTACTTCGCCGAGTTCTGGGGTAAGAGAAGCAAGTATATTGCGGGGCTTTGGGAACACAAGCTTCCCTATGCTCTGCTTTGGTACATCAGCAACGGTGCGATTGCGGCGAGGCCCGCGTTGTATAGAGCGCCGTCGTGGTCCTGGGCATCCGTTGATGGGGAAGTCTCATATACTATTATCCCACAAAAAGGCGCCATTGCACTGTTCAACATTTCCACGTGGTTCCGGGGAAGGACAGCAATTATGATGCTGTGGTAATTAAATGTATTCTCAAGCGCACGATTTGGGACCCGGCCGAAGAAGAGCTATACGAAATTGTCGACGGCGTCCCAGTGGGTGCCTCTGACGAATCCCGCTCAGAGCGGGGTGAGGTGGGTTTTGTCTCGGTAGACGCGAAGGACGAGCTTCTGATGTTGAGACGTGAAGTATCTGCTGCTATCCTAGCGCAGACACCTAACTCATTACTTGGAATTGTCGTTGTTCCTGTCACTTCTTCGGAATTAAACAAGTTTAGCGAAAGACTATCCATTACACATTGTATGTACCGTCGCATTGGATGGTTCACTGCCCCATTTTGCGATAGAGACAATTGGTTACGCACGCCACATCAAACTATACATCTAATATAGATAGAAACCCTTGCGGAACTCGAATATAACCGGGTAACCTATTTCCTAAGAAGGAGTGGAAGGGGCTGTCTAATAGCAAAATCGTGTTTTTGCCATTCATTATAGATAATTGATTCAAAAACCTCGCCCAAGGTTAAGTTAAGTAGCAGTTCTATAAAACTTCCCTAACGCACGTTCCTCTAGTATTACCGCTCGAAGTGGACTTAGGGTAGGAAGTTCATAAGGGCCCATGTTTGTCGCAGATTTTTCTGCTCTCGGATTACCTTGAGCATGGCCTACGAAGGCAATAAATGACCGGCTATTCTGTGCGAAAGTCGAGTACTTATGACGGTGAATATTCCAGACCCCCGTCTCTTGCAACCACGCGAATATAGCTGGCACAGTTATCGTTATTAATACTATCATTCTGCCTGGAAGAAAAGTTCAAATTCTGTATATTCCGGCCTGTATAAACCACCTGGGCAAGCGCGATTGTAGCGCCAACCCGATCGTTCTTATAGAAGAAACCTGGGTTTAAAGACACGCCAAACACGCACATGACGCTCAGTACCCTGTCCACCGGACGCGACGATGCTAGCCAGAAAGTGTTCTGTCAAACTGGGAGCGCTCCCTCTGGCAGACGGGCGGGCTGCGCCCGCCCGTCTACTCTAACGGTCCCATGTCTTGCCACTACGTGTGCTTGGGGCTGACCCGTGGACTTTCCATTCCAAGAAAAATGTCCTCCGCTCCAAAACTCGGTAGGAAAACATCCCGTCCTTGTTTAACGTACTAGTTATTTAACCCACGCCCGTGCATACTCTACTTGGCGGCTAGTTGGCTTATCGTGTTCCATGGTCGGGCCCTGTGTGGAATGGATCACTGCGTTGCCTATGAGATCGATTGTCTCATCGCTGACATCAGTCCACCCCTCTGGTATATGCTCGATGCTCCGAATATCGAAGCGATCTCCTACCCAATCATCTATACCATCAGCATCCGAGATATCCCGAGTCCATTGAGTTCGGACTACGATGGCTTCAACTAGACTGACTGGGTACTTGGACTCTGCAAGCTTTGAATCTAAAACGTATTGCTGCTTCGTCAAATTTCGTAAAACCCCGGGCCGCTTAGAGCCAGGATGACTCCGAATCATGGTCGCTAGACGTAGGAGAAGTTGTATGTCGGGGCAATCTCCAATTTGCTCCTTCATTTGCTCTTCCATAGACCCCCGTGGCAGGCGTATACACCTGTTGATGCCGTAATATAAGGGGTTTTTGTGTACCATTTCCGGAGTAATTTCGTTTTCTGGGTCTATTTCTATTTCAGGCATATTCCCATTTTCGTAGTCTTTGCAGTTTGGAGGGAACCCTTGAGCATGGTCTCCAACAAAGATCAGGCGGTCGCCGGCCCATGGTGCTTCAAAAGCCCTGATGGATTGTATCACGTCTGGTAGAAGAACCCTCCATAGATAGGAGCACGTCAATGCCAATCTCAGCATGTCTTCTGCGTAGGGTAGCTCGTCGACAATAGCGTCAAATATTTCCTGTGGAAGAGTCACTAGACGACTAGCAACGCTATTCTTTTGTTAGCTAGACTGTCTTTTATTTCTGCTAATAATCATTCTTGATCATACTTGTATTCCCGTGTTCTAGCAAGCTCTGACTCAGGTGATAGAGCGTCATTCAAATCGGGCACCGTCAGTAAATCTAATACTGGGACTCCATCTAGGCAGTCCATAAACTGGCCCGTTTTCATGCCTCTCGCAGGTACCATCACCCACTCGTCAAAGTTAATGAGAATCCAGTATTGACCCATATTGATTAGTGATAAAACTTTTTGTACTTCAAACAAAGAACTATCAAAGTCGAGTTTAAAAGATGAAATTATGCTGTGAGAAATATTACTTAGCTTTAGTAGGGGTATAGTATTGAGATGAAAGAGAAAAGCCTGCTGTTGCCTGGACAAGCTCGTCTAGAAAATATGTACTGTAATATGATATTGTACCTATAAAAAGCATACATTTCACAACCTACCCAGTGCTCCATTTATTATTTGCACCCATCCAATCCAATTGGGGATGCCCGATCTGTCATATATCATGTCACCACATGCAGCCAGGCAGAATGGCATCAAAGAGATACCCCATACTAGCTACCACAGTATGGAGCATGTTTTTTTGACGGCACTCTGTCAGTATATTGTAGGTAGGTACTTGGATAAGTGGTACTAATATACAACCACAGGGGAAATGGTACTTCAACTTTACGCCACCAAAAATACTCTTAGATTTCAACAACCTATAATTCTGCTTTACATTAGCTTTCATTAAATATTTCTAGCCCCCTCCCCTAAATAACGCTCATACCTTACTACAAAAGTGAAGCAACCCACACAACTCATAGTAGACAACCAAGGCCAAACACCAGCAACCAAAATTTAGCCTGTTATTAAGACAAGGGGTACTGTAAAAAATTAACTAACTACTGTATATAGAAGCTGTTGGAACAGGGTTAAGCTAGTAACCTGGAAGTGCTAAAGGTGCAATACCTCAGTAGCGTATATAACAGATGTACAAGAAGACGCATACGAATAGTGCGGGGTGTATGGTGATAAGAAGGCATGCGCCAGCTACAGTAAGGTTGAAGTATACAAGGCCCACGAATATATAAAGTGCATCATTCCAGAAAATATAGAACGCGAAGACCAAGAGCGCAAGAGTCCACCCAAATAGGAATTGCGGGATAAGTGAGGAGTCTAGCATGATGATAGGCGATGGCGATGTCTCTTTTGGGATGTTTATGTATGGCTTATAAGGTAGGTACCTATCAGAATTTGATACATTGAATGATATTTTGAAGTCTGTGTCCAAAGGTCTCGAGCTTGATATACCGCAAGTGTACATTGTTTAACCAAAGACAATAGATTATTATTTTATTTATACATGTTCTTTATCAACCGTCTGTCTATTATTAACCGTTATTATAGCTTTAATACTAAATACCCATTGTTAGTCAAAATGTGTTCCAGAAGTAGCCAAACAAAGCATATCATTTGGACTTTAACCCGTCGATTACATCGCCAGGCTTTGTGGCTGGAATAGCTACATGATGCCAGTGATTACAACCTTTGTAAGACTGTGCACCTGCAACTGTATTCATAAAGTAGCGTTCAAGTTTTAAGATGCGAATAGAGAAATATGGAATGTCCGCAAAAAGGAAAACACCCGTGTCATAGGGCGAATATTAAATCAGAAAAATCATGGGCAATAATATTTTCAAAGCCTGCATCTTCTAGCATCTGCCGGACCACCCCAGGGTATGATATAGCGTAGGTGGGCATGGCAGCATACTTGTTCACCTTCACCATTGAATCAGCAATATCACGAGATGCGCTATCAAGAAAGTTGTGGTCGTATTCGAACTGTATAAGAGGGCTGCCGGGGCGCAGAATGCGGTAAAAGCTGCCTTTTAGGGTGGGTAGCATATACAAGGTTTTCCATAGTGTAAACACCATCGAAAGAATCAGCAGCAAATTTATCTAAATTGTGATAATATATCTTGCATACTCTAACTGTCCTTTTTGGTAAGCCCGAGCGCTCGACATTTCGTTGGGCTTTGGCAACGTGATGGTCCACGACATCGATAGCATCGACGCGTAGTCCATGGCCACGTAGCGTTGCGCATGGCGAGGGCCCAACACCACAGCCGGCATCGAGCACCTGAGAGCCAGGGGGCAGTGCAATCATTCCAGCCATTTTGTCTTCCATGTTGCGTAGACCCTTGGATAAGGATAAGTGTCGTGCTCCCAATACCCAAAGTGTCGCGTACCACCTAAAAGCAATCTATACCATAGCCTCGACGCGAGTGAGTAATAGTAAGACTGTAACGGCAAGTTCGGGTTGATGATAGGCACCGCATTGTCGGGGTTATGACTCTTGTCGGGGGAGGGGGGGAGGGGGGGAGGGGGGGATGACATGGTGGCGCTTTGCAACTAGGTACCTGTTAATTAACATGTAGGTATAATTGAAACTTGGATCAATAGCGTTGCAAATAACGGACAGTGAGTCAATAAATAAGTACCTGCTTAGTAACGATTATATTCAACGTTGCAGTTCAACTTCTAAGCGCGTCGCGCTTGTCGTATATTGTAGGGCTGAAAAGGCGTAGTACCCGGCCTCCCGCCACTACTACGCTACCTAAGTTTAGTGTGGTAGGTACCGTACAGGTAGGGCCAGGCTTCGGCTGTATTTAGACCTCGAAGGACACTACCCGGTTTAACAGTATATCGAGTTATTCAATATATTAATGTAGTTCAGTTATCCGAACTCCAATGAATTGCCACGCAGTGAAACAATCGAACTGCCTAACACAGGAAGATTACAATAATATAATTTATGAAACCCGTAGGTGTCCTCCTGGTGGCTGCCTAGGCATACATCAACTACCATCTCCAAATTATTGCTAGTCATCTGCTGTATATTTTTTGCCATCGCTATTTCCATGATATTATCTGTCGTGCTGGCTCATATATCACCATGGCATCTAGGACAAAAAGGTGTATTTGTTTCAATATCTTAGGTATTCTGATAAGATTCCTATCATATTTTCCCACTTCGAATATTGATATCCAGACTGGTAACCCTACGGTTGCTTTCTTCCCGCCCCACCTTTAGATTCTCTGGTACTGACAAGTCTGGATATTTGCTAGGCTTCTGATCATCTATCTATACCTATAATAATCTATTGCAACTATTACAGCACAACTCCTACCATCATCGGTTACTAATGCCATGGTTCCCCGAAAACAATTCGATAATATCAAGAAGGATGTCTCTCGAAGAATAATCTATGTCAACAGTAGGGAAGTTAAAGACCAGGCTCTAGAAATATCAACACAAGAAATACGCCGTGGGTATAGAGGGAACACACAAAGCTTCCAGTTATCAACCTTGGAAGCAGCCTTCTAAGTCTTAGGGCTTCTTATAAGGAGTGTACATAGATAGTAATTGTCTAGCACAGCCAACCTCATTTTAAGAATAACCTTGCGCAGGGTTATGCCGACTGTTATATCTACCACACCCTTTGAACCAGTAATAACTCTATACCTCTAGGTAATCAAGGATCGTTATTACCTCACATCTTGCTACAAGTACCTAGCCTTGCACATGTATTCACCGAAATACAGTGCATATATCGGCTGCGGGGGCAGATCGCTCGTAGGTTTCTAATGACTAGCGAGACCCCGGCATAGGTCTAACAAGTACCCTATGAATCGTAGTACCTAGAGTTACTTGTAATATCTTTAAGAAAAAAAGAGCGTTGGTAGTTATATACATGTAACGAGATAAGGTCATAGAACTAGGTTGCCGTCTTCCCTCGAATACACTTGTATTCTGTGATAACCTAAAGAAAAATAATTCAACTCTAAGACAGCTTGTCTTACTTAATCTTATGATGTGAAAGTCTACCCAGGCTGTTTCTAAAGATGAAAGAGGAGTATTCTGGAATATTGATGCCTTAGTCACAATTTAGGACGGTAAGGAAGCCTGTCGGAAACCACCAAAGCCAAGGGTCGAGTTTTGTTCAAAATCACCGAGGGCACCTAAGAAATAGCTCGAGGCTCTTAGTTTGTTCCTGATTCTAGGTGCCTTACTTGAAAACCGCTACATAAACTACCTACCTAAAGACATGCAGGCTCGCGACCTCCCTACAGCCCTTGTACGAATCAACTCTCCACTCTTGCCTCTTATTTTGGTACCTAACATAAGAGAACCTACAAATCTAAGGCTTACTCGCCTAGGCAACACATCACCAAGTGGCAGATTTACACAACTTATTCCCTCCCAAATCAGCCTTCCTTTAAATTTATTTGTGTGGCACCGCATATCTCATCTCGAAGGCTGCATTGTCTTTTTTTAATTTCCAACACCATCACAAGCAAGGCTCCGCTATTCGACACACCGAACTGATAAGAGTAACCTGCGGTGCTTTTGGTTCTTGGACATTCTCTTTGGTGGTAAGTTACTTAGAAATGACCATGATGGAAATACAATGATGGGCTATGGTACTCTTTTCTCCGACGCCTTAGCCCAGTTACTTAGGTATGCACTTGACCTATCACTGAACACTATGTTTACAGGACTGTACTCATTTGCCTTTTCTTTCAAAGGACCTACGGGCTATTAACTACCGATCCTAGATCACTTAATCTGCCATAGTATGTCCGTGATCACGATCGTACGTGGGGGCTGAATAATAACTAATATGCACGGATTATAGGTCAGCCATGGCGAATCATCAAGATCATTTGCCTGACAATATCTGGATTATTCCGGGCGTTGACTTCCAGGCAACAGATCCCGGCATGGGCTATCACCAGGGTCTGGAGCAGGGCCCGGGGCTGCAGAATCCCTTCAACACGGGTTTTCCAAATTCGGAACTAATCGGGCACGGTAACAGTTTCGATGTCGCCGCCGACGTTCCTTATGCAATGCTCTACAATGCGACCCAGCCGGAGGGAACTATTCAGAGATCTACCCTTGGGGGGGATGACCGAACAGCCGGGGGTGAGTCACGCTTCAGCCTGATTGATGATTCGAAGCTACGAAGCTACGAAGCTACGCCTCGTGTCGGGCAATGGTTGTTGCCGCCTAAAATAGGATTAGTTACCATGGAAGCTAACAAGTATAAAACCCCCCTAGACTCCCGAAAGGCTCGATCCGCAATGGGTGAAGCTCATTTGCGTGACGACAACTGGACATATGCGATTGAAGTCTCTCCAGCTATTGATGTTTTGCCTGGTAAGTTGATGTTACATTATCCTTTGTTACTGTTGTTACTGTTGTTACCTTTGTTACCTGTTTAAGCCCTACGTTCAGCCCAATCAGCTCTATACCTACACTAGAAAATCCCCTGTCACTTTAGCTTGCCAAGCCAAGTGTCTTGCATGCCTTATGTATGCATACATAGATGTATATGTCTTTAACCGAGCCTATACTAGTGAGACTCGGTTAAAGACATATAAGTATAAGGTACCTAACTAACCGAAACTTGCTGTTTCCATCCGTGCGAAGTTGCTTCGGCTTGGAAGATATACTGTGGCGACCTTCACCTGCCAATCGTGCATCATTTCATCTCCATCGTGAATACCTTACACTTATACTATCGGCGTGTCGGGCTGCTAATGGTACTTCTTTCACGCTAGGTCACCACTTCGTTAAGAACCACGTCGCTGCCATCCACAAGCACTTAACAACCCGATCTATAGACTACGACTACGCTCTCGCCGAACCCGTCGAGGGACCCGGCATCTGTCGACAGTATACCCTCAAACAGAAAGATAGATTCAACGATCGCGTCCGTCTCGAGTTTCTCCAAGTCTTCACCGCCAACCGACCCTATAATAGACAGCTGCCCAATTACTCTATTAAAATGAGTGTTGTGTTCAAGGATCGTACTGTCCTACCCTCTGGTCCATATCCGCCTGGCATCGACGGCCGTCAAGATCAGGAAGGAGAGAGCCGTTTCTCTCCCGGCCCCTCTATACATGGTCTAGTGGGATACAGTGCGGGGGAAGAACAGGTCCTACTCCCAATTTCTCCCAGCTCTAATGGCTTGGATTCACCTTCTCCTTTTGATCAGCCGCTCTCTCCTCCGGAAAGCCTTTCAACTCCGGGACATCGTCATCATACCCGACCACCACGTTTGGGCCCTATTGTGAAGCCCAACCGAATCGCGAATAAGAATCGTGAGGGCAAGTTTGTTTGCTCCTTCGCCGGCTGCACCGATGATGTGAAGGTATTCAGTCGCAAGTGCGAATGGAGGTAAGACATAACCCAATCTTCTTTACATCTATGGAGGCAAACCTTGCTAACTCTTTGTTTATAAAGCAAGCACATGGACAAGCACGACCGACCGTATAAGTGCTTGTCATCGGGATGTGAGAAGCTTGCTGGATTTACGTATTCCGGCGGTCTCTTACGTCACGAAAGGGAGGTTCATAATAAGCATGGTGGGCCAAAGAACCCCCTTAACTGTCCACATGGAAACTGCAAACGTCACGAAGGCAAGGGTTTCTCTCGCATGGAGAATCTTAACGAGCATCTTCGTCGAGTGCATACCCCTAGCGACGCCAACAACGGTCCTACAGTAGTAGAATTGCCTGAAGATGAGCTGGAGGAGAATCCGGCCCCTCTTCAGCAGGTTGTAGCCCCTGAGAAGATAGGCGAGAAGCGCAAGCCTGAAACAGATCTCCGTGAGGAAGTGAAGCGTCTACACCAGGAGAATCAGCAACTGAGAAATGAGGTCCGCGCCCAGTCTCTCCACAGCATGGCCATGATGCAGACCATCGAAGAGATCAACCTGCAGCTTAGGGAGCTTGCCAACTCCAAGTCCCAGCTCCAGCTGCAGTCCCAGTCCAGACTTCAGCCCCAACCTCAGCCTCGGTCTCAGCTCGAGCTTCAATCTGAGGCCCAATCTGAAGCTCGGTCTGATACCGAACCCGACCTTGATGTGGCCCAACACGCTGGCCTAAGCTCTCTAGGCTAGGACCCCACGAGAACATATGGTCAGATAGCATATGATCAAATAGAACGTGATCCGGGATATTATTAGGAAGAAGACGATCAGTCCTATTTGGCCTCGCGGTGAGGCCCTCTCCTTAATTATTTGTTGCACCAAGATACCCCACTTTATTATTTCCACTGGTCTTTTTTTTTGTTTTTTTGCATGGCCTCAGGCGTTGGCGGCCAACTACCTGGACGAATCAGGGTGTGCTTTTATCTTGGCGGATGTGATCATGAATCGAGACGGACTCGGTCCCGGTATATACCATTAGCACAGACAGGCCTTTGGCGTTGAGGGTTGATACTACAGCATTTTTTGGTCGGCACATTCCCCCTTTTACGAGTTGTACGAGCGAGCAGGCTTCTCTTCTTGTTCAGCCTCCTTTGCCGGTGATATCGGTGTTGTTTTCTTTGTCTCCAGATGGAGACTTTCGATTCAGTGGACGAGGTTGACATATGATAAGATCTCTGGCAGACGGCTTGCAGCCTGGACATTGTTGCATGTGTTCGGGTTCACGATCGTAGATATAGCTGAGAGATGAGATCAGATGAGATGAGGCACGAATAAGTCTCTGTAATAAAGTCTCTGTAATACTATGGTGGTCCTTCCTCCATAGAGGGCGCCTTTGCAGTTAGCTAGACCTATGTTGATTAGAGTTGTCACTTATACCACTCTCGAGATACAGGTTTAGGAAGATATAAGTTTCCTATTACAGTTGTGGTTCTTTCTTGTGAAGATGTTTTCTATCCCCTTTTCTCTAAGATGTGTGGTGCTTTTTGATTATTATCCGGTTTTGCTCCCAAACTCATGTTCGGTTTATTAGGGTTTGTACTTTATACCCCGTCTTATGCAATAGACTTGTCCAGTGATGCTTTCATAGTTAGTTCTAGAAACTATCCCTTAAATAGGGGATCCCATTACCATCTGGAAAAGTGAGTTATTAAGAAGTATGCACGTATATTAATAATGGAGATCGACAACTCTGTATAAATACTCTCGTGATCACCACCTATCTGCCTATCCTATAGCTTATAAATTAGTTTCAAGCTTATCTTACAACCAAAACCAGACGAGAATGCCTATCGTTGGGGCTGAGGTACACATTTTTGCTTAATTGGCGTTGCACGGCATATGCATGTATCATGTGACAACGGCGAAGGTGGCTTAGAAGCCGTAGTTGTAGCAGATAACCTGAATTTCAGAGCCTGACGAGGGGAATCTGACTTTCTCTCTTCCTATTACTACACATTCCATAATTACTGTAATGGACCCTTTATCTATTACTGCTGGAGCTGCTGGCTTCATTTCACTTGGTATTACGGCCGCTGGAGGAATCATCCAATACTGCAAATCATTACGATCTCAAGATGTGGACTTTGTACAGTTAACGCGACACGCCAAAGAGCTAGAATCATTCCTCGGCTCAATCAAAGACCGGAATACAGCATCACAAAGTCCTAATACAGACATCCATAACTCTTTACAACGATGTTGTCAGGCCTATGACGCTTGCCTGAATGATTTCAAGCAACTCAATGCCAAGTATACCAACCAGAAATCCAATCGAAAGCTCATATACAAATTGAAATACCCCTTCGATAAAGCGAAACTCAATGATCTCCGATCTCAACTACAAGAATTCCACGTTATACTACTGGGCATCTTGCAGTTACTCAATTTGTGGGTATTATACTCATTTCTAGGTTAATACATTCGCCTCTGACAGGTTTTATGAAGGGATGCCACGCGAGAAATAAGAAGTATCGCTATTTCAGAATCTGCAAAGACAACACTCGCGGTACAGTCGATAGAAAGACAGGTCCAATCTTCTCTCTCCGATGTAAAACAAGCAGTAACCGATATACATACTGGTATCGGCCAGCTAGAGGCTTCCTTCCAGCGTGACCTTGGAGAAGCCAAGATACATATAATAACATATTTAGGCGATAATAAGAATGTCGTATCCAACCAGGCATCGCTAATCATTGCAAATCAAGAAACCCAGTCAGTATCACTCAAACAATATATAGATCAACGGCTTGGGGCCCTAGAGAACAACCAGCAAGAGTTTTTTACCCGAGCTTTAGCTGTGAGCGCTGGGGCTGATGGACAAGCAACATTACTCAACTTAAATACCGATAATGGCTGTTGGGTCCGGAACAACGTTAGGGAGAAGATGAATCTTAGGATGCCTGTGCGGAACATCTTTGACTCTCTCTGTACCTGTCCAGTCACACAGCAGCACCATTCCACAAAACGGCACCAAGCACATTGTATATATTCTCCGGGAAACCGCGAGGAGCGGACCTTTACCAGAAAATTTCGAGTTTTCCGACGCATGATCACCGCATCGTGTAAAGTTGAGTACGCTCGAATGAACTGGGCTCGCGACTGGCATGTCTATCCTAATCTAACGGTCCGAATGACTGTACCGGTAGATTCTCCCTCGTTCCTAGTAATCCACAAGGCCCGGGTTAACTTGCGTAATATCAAAAGTATACGAGAGTTAGAAGAGTTGTTCAAGGACACCTTGATTAGTCTTAAAAAGATTTTCACAAATGGTGAAGGATGGCCCACAGATGTTGATGAATACGGTTGGAACTTGCTACATGTTTGTCAATTCACCTTACAAAACCTTCCTAGAATGCTGTTCGACGAGATTAACTAACAAAAAGCTATCTCCAAGGAAGTGGTTTTGGCAATATTTTTGTATTCTGACTATATGGGATCCGACGAAGCCGCAGTTGTCTTCATGCAGTTTGTGGTCGCGTTGAACGAGATAGGCGTGCCTATAGATGATTGTTCAGGTTTAGGGTAAAAGCTTTTTCCAACCTGAGTCAATTTCGATATGAGGACTAATCATCTTATAGTACACCTCTTGGATATCTTCTTAACGGAATGCGCCTTTCGTGGAATCGTCTGGTCGACAATTCCACGTTTGTAGCGCTTGTGGCTAAGAATTTCTTGAAGACCTTAGAACTTCTAGAAACAACACCTGCTCCATTACCTAATCTTGACCATTCGACTGCCATGACAATAATAAATCTAAGAGATCCGGAATTTTACGAACGTGAGCTTCTTTGAATTTTCCTTATGCAAGTAGTATAGGCAAAACTGACAGAATATAGTGCTTGAGTACAACGACTTGATATACCTAATTTTTCATCGTTGTGAGCACGATATTCGGCGCCTCCTTATGAGTGATCCTTCGCTCATGCATTTCCGTACTCCTGAGGGACAAACGCCACTCCACTTCGCTGTAAACTGGCCTAGGGGCCTCTCCCTTTTGATTAAATATGGAGGAGAATCCATCCAGTCTATAATCAATGGTGGCGATGAAGATCTTGATCCTGCCCCACCTCTAAACTATGCGCTGTATATAAAAGAAGTTGATTCTATAAAGTTGCTACTCGATGCCGGAGCCAGCATTCCTCCAAATTCTTTCCTCCTTTTCACAGCGGAAATCGATACGAACGAACGGGCCAAGCAAATCATGCATCTCGTAGTTGAATCGCTCGCAAAGCAACGAAAAGATTTGTTACGATTAGCTTTACAGTATCTTCCCTCGGAAAAGATCCAAGAGCTTGAGCTACGGAGCAATGAAATTCTTGACGATAAAGCATTTGTTGTCGCGGAAGCACTAAGACAACAGCATGTTCCTATGCCTACCGCTTACGACTTCCTAACACCGGGTTCAGTATACCATTGGGCAGGTTTGACCTATCGTATAGCTCAGAAGCTATTCGAAGCTGGCTTTTGCAAAACAGATGGAAAGCTCCACGGATGCACCCCATTAAATACCCTCACTCGATATAGCCTTACCGCAAAAAACAAGGAACCTGAATCGAGGCTAAAACTTATTGCTTGGTTCAAAGATCACGGAACTAACCTCCACGCCCCAGCTCATGTGCCTAATGATATTTTTCGTCTTGAAGGCATTATGGAATGTGATACTGCATTCTATATTAATATACCGCGACCGCTTTTAACTATCCACTATCTAATGCATGTTTTGGGTTGTCTAACATGGGACCAAATACTGCTATATGGTTTAAATTTGAACGGGCGTCTACTCCAACAAACTTATACCCCAAATCAGCCCATATTATCCAGCCTGTTTGGAGACGATACGTCGGACTCCTGCAGTTGCTTCTGCACGGCTGACGGATGCACTCCAACTTCGAAGTACCTTACTACCGTTCTTCGATTGCACTTCAATCCTACTATATATGATATTCATGATAATAATAGTCGTAGTGAATGCATGGCTGTTGCGATACGAACGACTGAGATAGCGACACCCGATAGCAACAAGTACAAAGTCTCAGTAGAATACATTCGCCTCATAACGTTTGCGGCTCTTGGAATGCGTCATACGTGCTGTCGATTTAAGGAGCAATGGGAAAGGGATCCCCTTGTTGATAATGACCTGGTTCATCTCCTGGATATAGCCGAGATCAAAGAGATACGAGAGGAAGACCGATACCTGGCGGAGCAGCTGGAAGTTTTGATGGACGAGTTTGAGAAGAAATTCCAGGAATTGAATGTTCCATTAAGTCAATTTGTTGAGCAGTACTTGCTTCCTAGGCTTAGAGAAATCAGAGAGGAGCGGGATGAGATGTCAGCAGAGGACTTACGTGCTATTAGGGAAACTGGCGTCATTCTTGATGAGTTTTAGAGTTTCGTTGACGTCCTATTTCTTGCTATATTATCAAACATTATAGGTGTATATATCAATAGTGTATGGTATAATAGCATCAGTGCCGTGTAGAGAATTGAGAGCCTCACACATATATGCCATCACAAACCTAGGCAGGTTTGGAAGTATATTTCTCCAAGAGGCACCTAAATTACGCGTCATGTTATTTTGTTACCCACAGGTTCTACTGATGCCTAGTCCGTGATATGCGTGCATTATTTGCATTACTTTGTCGCCTTTTATTGCTTTGCTGAGGATGTGTAACTAGCACAACAGCAGTCAGGCAGTGTGGGAGAAATTCTAGGCTAGTCCTTGATATCAACTCAGTCTACCTATTGTCTCAAGCCACTTGAGGCTTACCAGTTACCTGCGTCAACCACCAAAACCAAAATATCAGACTCCATAGCCTGCAGAGCATACACGGGATACCCTGGTTTCTTTTTCTTAAAGTCGAATAGATCAAGCTCTCCATAAGGCTTACCCAAAAAAGCGTCTCTAATGGCTGAGACTCCCCTCTCTATAGGATGATATATGCTAATCAGTCATTCGAAGATTCGAATAAAAGTATTGAAGTTATTTACGTAGCCCGTCTGCGCGAGAGTGCTTCCGGTAAAGATTATCTTCTCGAATTGTAGAAAACGCAAGTAGCAAGTTCTTCTCTTAAGGGGGCAGTATGAATCATATGTGCTGGTTTGTAGCTTTTAATGAGACACAAGTATTATGACGGCCTTATCAAGGAGGTAATGGACAATGGGAATATACCTTAAAACAACACACCTTGAATTAGGTATTCAAGTTACAAAAATTCAATTCTAACCACTCATTACCTTCCACGATTGTCTCATATTTGTAAGTGTAGCGGTGACAATGTCTTGTCTTCCTTCATCTAGTGTTAAAGGGGTTATATCGTGCACGGGTCTTTACTATGCGTCAGTACTTCATATTCCTTTGAGTAGCAGCTTAACCTAATAAAGCTTCTTGTTACTGAGTCTCAAATAGTCTCCAGCGGTAATATGATCATATAGAGCTGGATTATCGGCCGATACAAATTGAGGCTTGGGACCTATATCCGCAGTCGGCGGCGGGCGCAAGAACATGACGGCTGACCTTCGTTCCGGCACGCGCGACGTCCCGGCCTCAGGTGGTAACGCGACACGGTGCAAAGCAGCGCGCAATCTTCCGTTTGTCCAGCGCTCCAGCGTGTCCGACACTAGTAGTACGACATCACCTTCCTGCTCCACGAACACGGGGGCGAATTCGCAGCGGCCCTTACCCAATCCGCGCACCTCAAGCTCAAGCCCAGACGCACCAGCACCATCTTGGAAGAGCGCGCTTATAACCCCAAGGTCTAAGTGCGGCAAGATGCGGTACATGGCCACATCATCCCCACCGCCACCGTCAATCCTGTCCCGCGCAACCTCTGGATAAAAATTCAAGTTCAACTCAGTCCCAAGGCCACCAGTGTCGAGCGGGTTGAGGGTCCCTGGAGGGACGTCAAGGCCCAGCTCGATCGTGTCGAGTAACATGTTACATGCTTTAATTATCTTCAGATATATGCCCCGGGTTGTCCTATTGAATCCTGGTAGCAGTGCTTCGGCAAGCTGGGGTGTGGGAAAGGAATAGTCTCCAGGAGGGCCAATAGCGAATCGCTCACGGGCTGCCAGAGACTGTGCCTTGGAAGAGCCAGTGGAGACTTCGAACAGGTGTGAATGAGGGGAGGAAAATGTATTTAGGTTCGGGGCGTCATGAAGATCGGGCCGCACAATAGCAGTCTTTTCGTATATCCACGGCGAGTATCCTCTTGCCGGGGCCTCGCCGCCGGGGTGACGAACACTAAGTTTAGCAATAAGAGAGAGATTGAAAAAAAGATAGTGCTGTATAGAGGGATCAAAGGGAGTTAGACATTGTTTACAACCTATAACTTATAGTAGAAGGTAACTAGTAGGCATTCTAAGAATTATGATAGGCGTACATAATTGAACAACACCCTGGTAGTGTGAGGAGCGACGCCGTAGTTACGCAGACGGGCGAAACCATGCTGTTCTAAGTGCGAGACAAGTTCGGCAGCAAAAGCACGACGAACCTGACTCGTGTTTACTAGTTTCTTAGCGGAGAGAATGGGGGATGCGTCGAGCGTTGGAGGCCAGCGGAACATGTCTATACTAGTGAGGAGAGACTCTAGGGGTTCGTGGGTATCCTTTGCATACTTCTAAAATAGATTTGAAAGGGTCCATAATATAAACAATAACCAGATATGTTACCCACTATATACACCTACCTATATGATATACTTAGGTACACATAAGACGACATAAAACCGTAACCACGGAATATAGCAAACTCCAGCGCGATTTGTAATACCCGAGGCATGCATGCCTGGTTGCTTTGGGGAGACGGCTTATTTAGTTTCATGTTGTGCGAGGTGAAATCTATCCATTTGACTTCACTCCTTCTTACTATTAAGATCACGTTGGCGTTTATTGGTGGCTATAGATTACTTAGATAGTTAGAGCGGGCATATCTATGGCGCTGAGGTGTCTGGAAAGGAGCCATAGATGCCATCACGCTAATAGATAATTACATACCCTCCTTCAAAAACAATCCAAGACAGCATGCAAATCTCTACGTAACTTGGGGCGATCATATTGCGGTAGAGTAGCTCGGTGCTATAACCCCCCTTTAAAACCAAATGAAACTTGTAACCCCCTAAACCTCCTACTTCCGCGGAATAGGAGACGAAGGATTCGACTGTGCCAGAATACATAGGTAGCTTCTCTAACAGAAATGTTATATAATCCGTCTTACACAATCCACAGTACTCAGCTACTCGACTTTTTAAGATGCAATAGATAGGTTAAGCTAATTACTACTATACTGGGAGTATGTAATGAGTGCTGTATATAAAAGGCAAATGTATGCCCCAGTCAAATCTCACATGCTTATTGAAAATCCATGCTTAATATTAGGATTCTATATGAAACATCTAGAACAAGAATATCTCCAACATATAGGTATATACCCAGCTACAGCTCTTTGTGAGACAACGAACTTAGTTCCATGCTTCTTGTATCACCTCGTCATACTCATCACGCCGAGCAATCTTGGCAGGTAAGACTTGGCTATCAGCGATCGTCCCCTTGAAAACTACCAGACAAGCGCACCCCATGATATGAAAACGTACGCCTCTCCGGCTGCCGCCGTAGTAATACCGCAGAGCCGTGGCACAGTCCCTATCCTATCAGGACTAGATGTTAGGGCTTGGCTGACAGTTTCCGTATCCAACCAACCAGTGACTCTGACTTTTCGGATCCCGACGGTTCCGTCAGATGATCGGCGCGGATATTATGGAAGGTGTTTCTGGAAAAGAAGATATCTAGAAACTAGAGTCAGGAGTAAAAGGATAGGCACGTATTCTCGCGCATCATCCACGGGTACTAATGTGTGTATTTTATAATTATCTAAAAGCTACTGCTAACGTCCATTGAGAGCCTCGAGTACAGACCTGTGGATAGGGAAGTTGACCGAGCAGAAGTCGTTGTAGGTCGTCATCCTAAGGTCTATGATCTTTCTATAATCGTTCTGCTTAAAACTTACTCTGCGTTTAAGATCTATATAATACCCACAGACCCCTATTTTAACCTTTTAGTGTTATACAACAGACCTAGTCCCAGTCCCGTTCCACACGGAGAGCCGCTCAGGGAAATAAACCGGTTGGACAACTTAACTCTTCATAAGATTTAAATAATTTTAGCCTACACAGGAATGTGCTACCACAAACCTTCCACCATTGTTGTCCGCTACAAGAAGCCTCGGGTCACCATAATAGCGTGTCGTAAACAACACGAAACAATAGGATTCAAGTCGGGTCTCTATTGCTTCCTTAGTATTGTAGGTTGGCAGTAGTCACTTTGCCATGAGAGTACTGATCTTGCGAAGGATGCCATCGTTGGCGGTGACTACGCCGTTCGGGGAATCCTACACGTGGGCTTGCGCAAATATCTGACCCAACGGCTGTAATTCCTCTTAAATCATTTTCTACAGGTTACGTACTAGAGGAAATCTGAATTCTAGGCTAAACTAGGGAGAGTTTCTAATCTGGATATGAATTGTCGATGTCTTCACCAATCCGTTTCAGTCACAATAGGTTATAGACAAAAGGGGCATATGATAAGATATATCACAACATCTAGAAAAAGAATATTTGTTAGCCCCTTCTTCGGGTAACGCCTCATGAGTACACATTTATCCTCACCAACACCATGTCGTCGCTATTCATGCGCCTCACTTCATTAGTCTAGGACTTTAGGTACCCAACCGGTTAAGCCTTAAATCTCCAAGCCTTAGCGACATGTGTTAATTCCCACGTCAGCTGATTGAACCAACTTACTTAATGTTGAGTCCGCAAGTAAATCATCTGCTAGTTACATTCAAAGGTAACTATTGACGTATCGTGCCTCTAGCACAAAGACTAGCTTGAATAAATTAACTTGAGTTGGTCTTCTAATAAGATGCTTTGTCTAATCAGGAGTCAAGTATGGGGAAGTACCATACTGTTGTTTGCACCCTGTAAAAGTATATCAGAATATTAGCTCAGAATTATACCAAGAAAGAAAGTAAGAAGAATTATGTTATGTTTGACATTAGAATGATGACACGCCGGAAGATCTTAGCCAGATTCATTTAGCGTGAACCTACCATCTTTTAATAAGGATCTGAGCACGACGTGGGAACACAACTCTTTGAAGTACAAGACTATGAACATAAGTGAGATTAGAACACTAGGTAATATATATACCTATATATAGATATAAGATATTGTCCATATGTAGATATCTTAATGGTCTAAAGGTCTTGATTAAATATGTGAGTATTGAAACTAGAGTTACCTGAAGTGTTCTAATTTGCCTATTGTGAATATCAAAAGTATTGGACAACATAATATTCTTGTTTACTTCTGATAGCCTATAAAGACTATAAAAATAACAATCACTGTACGCCAATCCTAAATTCAAAAACTCTTTTAGCCCCCCCCCCCCCCAGAACCGCGTATCGAGCTAGTTTTTATGAGCAACTACATGTCTTGGAAACCTGTGTAATATATTACCCGATGTACACACACACATGCAAGAATCCCGAGTTACATCATCGTTACGGCTAAGTAATGGGTGTTGGTTTAGGATTACCGGAGGATGCGAGGACTGAGCTTTGGTGAGCAGATCCAAGAAGCGAAATTCCCCGAACAGTTATCACACAAGTTGCCATGTTCATTATAAATATCGAGGTTGAAGTGAAGTCAAATTCTGTTCAACTTGCCCCAGTACAGCCTACTCACTTTATCTCTTCTACGTGACAGATAGTCCCTAAACAGCTTTTTTTGCCCAACATGTCTTCCTCAAGTTCTTTGTCTGAACTTACACAGCGGCTTCTCAGCAAAGTTGAAAAAGTCGAAACCCTTACCCCTAAATCAACCGGACAGGTTCTGTTCCAGTTAGAAGGTCAATCCCCAGAGCTCAAGAAAGCCCGCCGGGAACTGCTTGAGATTACGCAGGAAATCCAGGTGCGAGCTAGAGGGCCCGTGGATCTCCTTGAGCAGTACCAAATCCAGGTACGGACTGAAGATGCTTCTTATAGCATCGGACTTGATGACATAAGGTCTGCATGATGTATTTGCTAATAATTCTCACTCAATACAGTACAATGCCTTCTCCTGTCTCCGTTGGTTGCTCCACTTCGAGATCTTTACTCGTGTTCCAACGGACTACAAGCCAATTTCATACGTATCCCTCGCCTCTCTCGCCTCCGTGCCTCTTGCGCGTCTGCAATCTGTAGCACGGATGGCCATGACAGCGGGCCTATTCGCCGAGCCGGATCCCGCCCACATAGCGCATAGCCCGCTCTCCTTGCGCTTCGCGACAGACGCGCTTCTCCGAGACTGGGCTATCTTCATAACCAAGTACGGAGAACCCGCGACCCAAGCCATGACGGAGGCAACTGAGAAGTGGGGTGACTCGAAAGCTTTGGATGAGACGGCGTGGAATATATTTGGAGGCACGACAAAACCGTTCTTTAAGTATCTTAAGGACGTCCCGGGTATGGTGGACTTGTTCAGCAGATATATGCAAAGTCAGGGGTTGAGCGAGGGGATGCGACTGGAGCATGTTCTTGACGGGTATGACTGGGCTAAATTAGATGCTAATGCACACATTATTGATGTAAATCCCCTTATGATACGAAATCAGGCATCTCTAGATTCTAATGATAATTCCACTCATAGGTTGGCGGATCAAACGGATTCGTATCCGTAGCTATCGCAAAGTCCTATCCCGGATTCAAATTCACAATCCAGGATCTTCCCGAGGCCGTTGAAGCACTTTCTTCAACACTCTCAGAACTCCCCGATACGATTACTTCGCGCATCCAGTTCAAAACACATAGCTTCTTCGACCCCCAGCCTCCGCATCAGCCCGGCTCGTCTTCACCCGACGTGTACCTCTACGAAAGATTCTACACGACTGGCCTGCAGCCCGCGCTCGCGAGATCCTCTGCCAGCTAGCAACAGCTTTGCGAGACGGAAAGAAGCCTAGCACGCGGATCGTCATTATGGATATTATCCTCCCTCCTCCCGGCACGATTGAGCGGACTCAAGAGGCTATGCTGCGCGTGCGAGATCTTTCCATGGCGCAAGCTTTCAACAGCCAAGAGAGAAATCTAATAGACTGGGAAGAACTGTTTGAAAGCGCGGAACCGAAGCTAGAGTTAGTGAGCTGGAAGCAGCCTCCTGGGAGTGCGATGGCCGTGATGGAAGTGAGCTTGGCCGAGTAGTATGAACTACATACACACTGAAATACCTTGTAGTAGGCTATATGCTTAAGAGTATTAAATGTGGATTTTATATCATGTACGAGTTGTCATCTAAGATCTTCTCCACTAACAATCGTCTATGATTATCAGATCATGGCCTAAGCGAAGAAGATCAAAAGAAAAAGAAGGCTGAAAAGATATATAACTTTGAATTAGGAAATGAGACTATTATGCAATCCGATCCTATTATTCGCGAGGCTTTCTACCTGCCTTCTCGGGCACGCTTAGAAATAAAAAGGACCCTTGTAGAGAATCGTTCTAGGTAGGAGGTACCTAGGTACGTATTAATTATATTTAGACCTGCGGCGTAGCGCGATGCGGTTTTCCGGGGTTCCAGCTATGTCCATATGTATTAGCTACCGTATTAAAATTTATAGTTATGCACTTTCCCGTCCACCGAGTATCTGAAATTGGTGATCGTGTGGAAAAGCAAGTGATAGCCGTCAGTTGATGGATGGTTCCGTGTGTTCCGGTCACCGGCATTGAAAAAGGTCTTAGACGGGTAGTGATACGGTGACACGGTGACACGGTGACACGGTGACACGGTGACAGCTGGAATGAGTTGAGATGGTTCAATTGTGCACGTTCCTTTTTATTGGCAGATTAAGTAATCCGTAAATATATTCGAAGAATGCGCCTAGCGCCAAGACGGCTAGGTCCGCTTAGTTGCATCCAGCTATTGCGCCTCTCAACCTTATGCCTTATTATTATATTATACCCTTATTATATTGTACCTAATAAAGTTGTACCTGATCTTGGGGAAAACTTCACTATGTAAAACAAAACATCGCCAATAGTGCAGGTATCGCCAATAGTCATGACGATCCTCACTAAAATACATTAGAACTCGTCATCTCAGCGCAATAATACTATGTAGGTACCTAGGTAAACATGCAATTTCGGCTTAGTATGGCGCAAAGCCAAATGCAACAAGTTATCTTTCTGTCACATCTCAAAGTACGTACGTATCGACATGATTTCCTGTTCTCGTGTCGATGAGGTTTTCCACACGTCAAATGGTATCTCTCCTGTCCGGAGCGTACCTCACGTTATAGGTATATATAGTAGTATTCAAAGTGGGATGGATAGGTACTAACGTAACCGTATGATGCTTGGATCGGCGCAGCGTAGCATACATAAATACATGGCTGGAGTTAATTTGGGGCGATTGATGCAACTTTCGATGCCGGCTGAAGCGTACCTTAGCTGCTTGGGTAGGCTCTTAGGGAGGCTTAACCACGGACTTTGTATCGTCGTTACGGAAAACGCGACATGTCGTGATCCGCCAAGTGACCTAAACTTGCCTGTCTTACCATTTATAGGAATATACGGTAGGGATCATCTGCCAGGGGGGCACGTTCTACTTGTTTTTGGCTACGGATTACCCGCCTATACATTAGGTACATATACGAAAGGTTCTATTAGCTATTCTATTAGGTAGGCAGCTACCTATAAAACCGGGCATTCCCACGTCCTCCCCTTCGCTTTGGTAGAGAGGAGAGGTTATTCCTATAAGTTTCTTGCGGTTCGGTAGGCCAGGTTCCAAGGAGTTCAAGGCGTCAACTATTAGCCCATTAGCGATATCAAGTAGCCATGAAGAATATACTTGCTTTAAGCGCTCTGCCGCTGCTCTCGCTTGCTGGAGCTACGTCTCTTAAGCCTCGCGACGGCCCGACTTACGATGCTATTATCATAGGAGGTGGTCCGTCAGGCCTCAGCGCCTTGAGCGGTCTCGCTCGAGTACGCAGAAACGTCCTGTTAATCGACTCGGGAGAGTATCGCAACGGACCGACGAGACACATGCACGACGTCATCGGCTTCGACGGTGAGTTACGGTCGCGTGACCAGTGATACCTTGTTGGTTTCTCGTAGAACTAACATCGGAGCAGGAGTCACACCGGCGTACTACCGCTGGGCAGCTCGCCAGCAGCTCGCTCATTATGACACCGTATCGGCTGTCAACGGGACCGTCACCAACATCGAGCCGCTGAACAACAACACAGAGTTCAGCGTCGCAACGACTTTCCTCAACGGCACCGACGGCACCGTGAGCGCCAAGAAAATCATCCTCGCCACCGGGCTTCACGACCTGATACCCGATACCCCGGGTCTACTAGAGAACTGGGGCAAGGGTATCTTCTGGTGCCCGTGGTGCGACGGACACGAGCACGCAGACCAGTCCCTCGGCCTCCTGGGCCCGCTGGAAGACGCCGCGGGCCTAGTACGCGAGATCTCGACGCTAAACTCGGACATCATCGCCTTCGTGAACGGCACCGACACCCCGGACGCGCGCGCCGCCGCCGAGAAGAGCTTCCCGAACTGGCAGAAGTACCTGCAGATCCACAACGTCACGGTCGAGAACCGCACCATCGCACGCATCAACCGCCTCCGCGACGGCGGCGACCCGCCCGCGGACCCCAGCCTGCCGACCGCCCCCGAGTACGACCTGTTCAGCGTCGACTTCACCGAGGGCGAACCCGTCGAGCGCGCCGCCTTCTTCACCAGCTTCCCCGACGAGCAGCGCTCCGACGTCGGCGAGAAGCTCGGCGTTGCGCTGTACGGCGGCCGCCTGTCCGCCGACAACGCCAAGGGCCTGGCCACGAACATCCCCGGCGTATACGCCATCGGCGACGCCAACTCGGATAACGTGACGAATGTGCCGCACGCGCTGTTCACCGGGAAGCGAACTGCCGTCTACCTACACGGTGAGCTTTTTTCTTTTTTCTCATTCTCTCATTCTCTGAACATTTCCGTCGATTCTGCTCTCGAAGCTTGTAACGTAGGTGTGCACCTTGCATGCTAACGCGAAGATACAGTGCAACTTGCCCGCGAGGAGGCCGACAAGGAACTAGCAGGAAACGGAACCGCGGTGGCTCGTCGCGAGGAAGAGCTCAACCTGCGGTCCGTCTGGGAACAGATGAACCCCCGCGATCTTCTTTACGCTGGAGAGTTCGACCAGTAATCAAATACCTAATGTTGTAATGCCATTTAGAGTGCGTATATTTGTGATCTATCTTGGGAAGAGAAAAGGAAGCATACGGGGTGAGCATTATGTACAAGAGGATATGATACCATTATATATAATATAATATATAACAACTTGCAATCTTGATCTCTGTTGAGAATATATTGTGGATTAATGCTTAGAAATATTTATAATAGGGGCTTGATTCTTTCCACGTTACACTGCTTAAGCATTTCGGGTCTAATGATCAAGCATGCTCTTCATTGCTTATATGTAGCTGCGAGGTCGTGAACCTCGTCTTTACTCATACACACGTATCCCGCATCCATATTGCGTTCCCTCCCCACCCTCATACGTAGGTAGTCAGTCCCTCTCCATACAGCAACTCTTAATCCCTAACCCAAACACCCCGACCTCAACCTCAAACCTCAAAAACCTCCCCAGCACCATACCCCCCTCCCCCTCTTCTACCATCCACAAGATCCAGCCTCCACCCCTCCCAATTCTTCAGCCCGCGCTTGAGTTCCCGGACTCGCTCGAGCCTCCTCTTCGCCTCCTCCTGCTGCGCTTTCAGGAACGCCTCCTCGTCGAACTCCATGTCGGCGTCGTCATCCAGGAACCCCTCGTTATCGGCCTTTTCATCGGCCGGGGTGCCACCCGTTAAAGCATTGATGCCGCTCGCGAAGAAATCGCCAATGCCCCTGTTCCCGGCCTTGCGCGCCGCACCCGGCCCGCCCAGGTCGATGTTCGTGAAGCCCCCACCGCCGGGACTTAATAGGGAGGGGTCGTCGGGGCCGTGCTCCATTTCCTTGCGTCGCTGGTGCCAGATTCCGCGGCGCAGGTCGTAGACTTCGCTCTCGAGGTCGCGGATCTTCTTCTCCATGCGCTGGCGCTCCTCGTCTTCCAGCTCGTCGACCCCGTCATCGTCACCACCGCCTTCCGCAGCGTCCTTCTTGCGCAGACGCGCATTCTCGGACTCTAGCCTCTCGATCTTGGTCTTGGCGTCTTGCGCCTCCTTCTCCGCGCGTTCCTTATCTTTGCGTAAGGCCTGCGACCGGCTGTCGTTCTCTTTGTGCAGGGTAGCGAGGGCAGCGACCTTCTTTTCCAGCGCGTCCACCTTCTTTTCAAGTTCTGCTTTTTCTCCCTTCAAGTCTTCGACTTCATGCTCGAGACTACGCAATTTTATCTCTGCACTTGTGCGCTCGCTGCCTTCCTTTACGACGCGCTCGGTTGTGCGTTCTAGATTCCGCTTGAGGTCGGCGAGCTCACGCTGTGCCTTCATAGCAGCCTGCTCAGATCGCGCCAGCTTCTCTTCCAGAGCTGTGATCTGTTCGCGGTCGGTACCACCGGCGGAAGCTTGTCGTTCAGCTTGGGCGCGTAGGCGGGAGATCTCTAGCTCCATGGTTTCTATGGTGGAGGATTTTGAGGCCAGCTGGGCTTGTAGTTCCGCTGGGGGAGAGGACATGGAGATAGAAGGCGAGGAGCCATGGCGCTTCGAAGCGGCAGACTGGAGCTGCGAGTTCTGACGTTGGAGGGCGGCGATCTCTAATTTCTATAAGTATAATAAGTTAGCTTGCAATATAAACGACATGAATATAAGATTTCCGTACTAGCTTCTCGACTTGGCTATCCGAACCATCGCGATCGGCTTCCCGCAGATCAGCGAGCTCTTCTTCGGCTTTTTGCCATCGCTTTTCCGCGTCGCCGGCCTCTTTTGCGAGCCTCTTATTTTCTTTCTCTAGATCGTCTATGCGCGCCACTTGCTTCCGGTATATATCAGGCGCTGTCTCGCCTTCGGAACTCAGTGAGAACCCGGTAGGTGATACTGTGCCTTGGCGGAAGGACGAAGAGCGAAGTTTGGACTGGTGGGATAACGAGGTTGCGCTAGGTGTCGTAGGAGAGCCCAGTGGCTCTGCAACTGTATCTTCAACAGCAGGCCCATCTACGAGAGTTGTTTCGGACTTCGATTCGGTGGTGGTAGGCTCTTCTTTATCCTTTTCCTTGTCTTGTTGTTTTGAAGCTCCTCCTTTCTTGGCCATCTGCTTCTTCCTCTGCTCGAGCTGTGGAACTTTGGTTTTAGCATCTAATTGGCTACCAAATGAGGCTCTACGTGAATAATATCGATAATATCAACTCATACCTTCTTCTTTGCCGCGGCAAGTTTCTCGGCCTTAGCCTTCTCCTCGTCAGCCATTTTGTCCTAGCTTAAGTAGGTCCGTCCTAAGTAATTCCAGGGTGTTTCGATATTTGGTGATGCGCGTCTTATAAATCAACCCGCTATAATATGTGTGTAGTAGTAAGAATTATGGGTTAAATGACTGTTGACGGTTGGATGTTTGACGGAGGTACGGCTTAACGGGCTTAGGTGTCCAGAAGACGGTTAACCGTCCCAGACTCGAGCTCGTTTGCGTTTGCGACGGCGCTAACAGACCGTATGTATTGCACGAGCCACACAGGTCCACGGGTACATAGCGCCAAAACGGTACATTCTGCCAAGTACCGTTTATACCTACGTCAGAAGGAAACGCCGCAACTGAAATAAATATAAACTAGCAATTACCTTAAATACCATGACATTTATATATAAAAGAACTCTTAACAACTCCCCGTTGGACTTCATACCTATTGGGAACAATTTATAACAATTTATAACAATTTATAACAATAATCTTTCATGTATAAGAGGTTATGCTTCAGCACGATGACCCAATATCTACGTTCGAGACGGTTTGCTCCTCTTACGGAGCTTGCAACTGGTCAGCATCATGACTTGCCCAAGTTACACGGAGTGATATTCGATGTTGACGGGACTCTCTGGTAAGTGATCAATAAAGATAGCTAATGCTTAGCATATACTGCATACCATACAAATTCGTAAAATGAGAGTTAGGAGAAAGTACATTTCAACTATGTCTATGGAGTTGGTAGTGAGACCATCCGGGCTCGGGATCCTTACATTTTCACATGAGATCAGTATTATGAGACCCTCATGACTATTAAGTCTCAAGAAGCGATCATTCTTAAACTTAAACACCTACAACCTTAGATGGGGCTAGTAGGAAGAATATCTCACAACACATACACCCACCCATCCCACAACCCCTATAGTTAACCAATATCCCACTAACAACCCTCCAGCCTCCCCCAAAACCACATGTTCTCCGAAATGCGCGCCGCGCTGCAAATCCCCAAGCACGTCGACATCCTCGAGCACATATACTCGCTGCCCACGGCCGCCCAGCAAGAATCCGCCATGGAGTCCATCCGCGCCATCGAGCGGCAGTCCATGACCGCGCAGGTCGCGCAGCCCGGGCTAGCCGAGCTGATGGCCTATCTCGACTCGAGGAACATCCGCAAGGGCATCTGCACGCGCAACTTCGAGGCCCCCGTCTCTCACCTGCTGACCAAGTTTCTCGCCGGCCACGTCTTCCACCCGGTCGTCACGCGCGACTTCCGCCCCCCGAAGCCGGATCCCGCCGGCCTGCTGCATATAGCCCGGAGCTGGGGGCTGGTGAGGACTGTGGAGGGACCCGGGGATGAGGCTAAGGTGAGGGCGGTGCTGGAGGAGGAGAGTGCTGGTAGTAGTGCGCGGGAGAAGGAGGGTGCGGAGGGGCGTGACGGCGCGGAGTTGAGTGAGGTGGGTGATGCGTCGGGATTGATCATGGTGGGCGACTCGATCGACGATATGACGGCTGGGCGGCGCGCCGGCGCTGCTACGGTGTTGCTTGTTAATGATGTGAATAGCCATCTGGCTGACCACGAACACACTGACCTAGTTATTGAGCGGCTGGATGATTTGGTTCAAGTACTAGACTACGGCTTCGTGGGCAGGGAAATACATCAGGACCCCTAGCCTAGGGTTTACGAAGGGTAGTGTAGATACATAGTCTCAAATATCGCAAGATGGTCTTACCACAATGTTTTGGTATAGGATACTTATAGAATATCATGGGTTTATAAACTCGACTCATTAGTCGGCCAACCTCTCCTCAGTGGTCAACTTGCTACTTACCATTGTGAGATAATTCTGAAAAAAAAAAACATAGATATGATTCATAATTCGGTATCAAATGTTAGCTAAATGTTATCAATCACGTATAATTCAAAAGTCAAAACTGTCATGATATCTTGTCGCATTTGTACTAGTGGCCACACACTTCACTTAACAGAATCGTAAACTACACCCAGTAGTTGACGTTTTATAGCTTCCTCCTTCAAGATCGTTTCTTCTCGCTTTCGTATACCGCTTCCTAAAATCTCTGATATAGTCTCTCTCGCTAAGGGGCGTGCTGTGAGGCATGCCTGAGATATAATGTTTGATGTGTGTGTGAGGGATGATCGATGTCAACACACTATTACGCTAGATGAATACGGACGCTTAGCGGTCATATTCCTCCACGCTCCGCAACCGAACCATGGATGGCCTATATAGTGTGACAAACTGGCTATAATGGTAGATGTGATACCGCTGGCTTTATCGCGATGAATACCCCGCGCTTCCATAGCTGCCGTTCGACGGAGAGATGAATGTTGCTTGTCGTCTATTCTCTTTCCGCAGTTCATCCGGAGTCTCTTTCCTTGGGGGAGGAGGTGGCAACGGTCCACCAGGCGGTGCAGGTCTAACTGGTAGTGTGAATGATGTTCCCATACTGGCACTGGCCGGCTGCGAGAGGTCTGCAGTTGTAATCTTGGGTATTGATCCAGACGTTGCAGCTCGTTGTCCCAATCCCGGATGCACAGAGGAACCGGAAGAGCGTCCAAGGCTTCCCACCCCATTTCTTGTAGGCGATCGGTTCTGCGAGTGGCTATGATCTCTCGGCGAAGCAATGGCGCCCACGATGGGGATCTCGCCGGAAGTTGGGGTATAAGCGGCATTGCCGTCATTTTGGAAGGTAGGAGACTCGCTTGATCGTAGGAGATCCCGAGTAGCTGGCGAAAGTTGAGGTACTAAATGCGATTTACGGTTGTCTTTCTCCATAAGTCCGACAGCCCATGCTCTCAAATCCACCGGTGTCCGTTTAGCTGCTTGGACAAATGGGTCTCGGTCCTATATAAGATTAGTATAGACATTCGACATGCTTTGTTTTGTTTAGAGTGTTGCTTACCCATAACTCCTGAGGTGTCGGCCGCTCATCTGGTATTTTCGACAAGCATTTCTGAACCATGTCTTCTAATATTGACGGGAACGCATCGCTTTTAGGAAGTTTTGGGGCGGGCTCGTGAACAATTTGTTGGAGGAGATCCAAGATACCGGCTGGAGCCCCGTCGTCATCCGATAGTTGTTCGCTCGCAAATGGGAATTTGCCAATAGCCAGCTCCATTATACTTAGACCAAAACTCCATACGTCCGACTTCACTGTGTACTTCTCGCCCTGGATTCGCTCTGGGGCCATGTAAGTCGAAGTACCCACGAACGTATCGGCGATAGAGTTGACTAGTTCTCCTGATACTCCAAAATCGCAGAGCTTGATGTGACCCCGAGAATTCACGAGGATATTAGAGGGCTTAATGTCTCGGTGCATGATGTGTAGTTTCGAGTATAGATAGGTTAAGCCACCCAGAGTCGCCTCTGCAATTTTACCAAGCACGTCTACACGAATCGGCCCAAAATGGCGCGAGACTCTGTCGAGAGATCTGTGGTCGTCCAGTTAGGTCCACGTAACACTTTCATACTCTTTCTTTTTATCCCACTTACCCAACGTCCATGTATTCCATACACATAATGACATCGTTATGTTCGTTTAGGAAAGCGCCGTAGAAAGTCACGATATAATCCGAGTGGCAACCGTGCATGATCTGTAGCTCGCGCACGATTCGCTTCCTGAGCTCTTTTTTAGCCTCGACATGAATTACCTAACGTCGGCCATGATCAGCATCCGCATTTCGAAATATTAATGAAGATGTTTACCTTTCGAGCCATTGTAGTTCCAGTGGGTAAATGCTTTACTTTACTGACGGTACCTCCATTTCCCGAACCAAGCTCTTTCACAATCTCGATATCCTCTTGCCGAAGGTCTAGATTAAACTCAATTCCAATCTCGAGCTGTGCTTCTTGGCCTACCTCCTCGGCTCTCGATCCGCCAAAGCCCCAGCCGGATTGATTGTCATTGTTCGAAGCCGCAGGTTGCTTCGGGGCGGCGGGGGTTAATGCTAAGCCTTTGACATTCTTGCGCTTCATAGAGCGCGGGGCAAATGAGTCGGTCATGATGTATAAACCCGCGGGTACTCGGTGATGTTTAGGATTCGAGAAGCGGGAACTTGCACGCTATGCAAGACCGATTAAGAAGACTATTTCGAGCCGGCGCGGATCGCAAATGGGCAAGCAATTTGCATGTCCACCGGCAAACGCCCGGATATTGGATTTATTTCGAACTAATCCGCGACGTCTGTGTCGCGCGTATATTTGGGCCCCTCACACGGACCCCGAAAAGATCGAAGTTGGGAATTGGATTAAGATCTGACGGAGGAACTCTCGTATTTTTTCAGGAGTAGCGACGGTGTCAGTTGTACAACCCTGTCTGCACTGTTGTGCAATGCACCAAGAAAGGGTCCTAGGGTACGTAGCCGCTTGAAGGCTACCAACAAGTATTTAGAGTCAGCAAATTAAATGGTTAGGTGTTGTGGAAGGGGAAGTGTGCAGGAAGATGCAGCTGCGTAGGGGGGAAGTACGAAGACGCATGTAAGAGGTAGTAAGTAATAGCGGTGCAGCGGTAGTAGTATTGTAGTGTTATCAACTAGTGGTGCTAGGATAATAGGATAGGTATACATGTAGGTACTACCTAAAGTTCTAGTGGGACTCGGCCGATTTTACCGACCCTAGGAACCGACAAGAATTAAGTGCTAGGTATCCAAAGTACCTACTAAGGTAAGGTGATGTCGGCGTATGGTAGACCTTCTTTAGTCTTTTGTTGGGCATCGAGAAAGGGGATATCCAAAAATTGGGTGGTAAAAATTGTGAAGAAAGAAATCCACTTAGATAAAGTACAGCTGGTGACAATTCCCACAGGTCATGATAAAATAATTGCTAGGAATAAACCTATCAACTCAAGCTGTATATAATTCTTCAATTTTCGGTACATGCATGTAGATGTGCGTCAAAGTGTAATCATGATGAGTGTAATTGATATGTCGGTGTATGTGGATAGGAGGGAGCCCAATATGACAGATATTTTTTGGTATCATACAGAAGGGTCGTACAGAAGGACAAAGAACGAATACTTACTTCGTTTAAATAATTCGAAAATTGTAAACGGTAGAAATTTGTCGACGAGATGAGATGAGATGAACTATGTCTAGCACAAGTCTAGGTTAGCTGGAACTAGGTCTGCTCTCTATACACATTCGTTGTGTACAGAAAATCAATAAAACCCTGTATGCAGTTGAGACTTACCAAAAAACCGGAGCTAATTGGCATTTAGCTATAACTGCATTAGGTATATAGGAGAAAAGCTGCAGGTAATATTGAAAACCGTCCTGGGCAATCACCAGAGAAGACAAAAGTAGGAATCGGGCTAGTATAAGTGTCTTGAGTAGATGGGCTTTAGATGGGCTTTAGATGCGTTACGTGTTTGTGTTTAGCACAAAGGGGGTAAGAGCACCACAACGGATCAATCATGCTATGTATGTAGGGGATTTTGGTATTTGAAACCACATCGTCATGCTTGGTTCAAAGCGTCTACAGATGAAATATAAGTGGAAGATTGCGAGAGGGAGAGTGGTTCTTAGGTACCTAAGGTATCGAAGTTGATTATGGTTAGAGGCGTTTATTCCCACTAATAAAGAGTGTTGTGTAGGTAGATACTACCTACAAATTTAGTTGCGAATAGTAAAAGAAATAAGTATTAAGTACAATAACTAGAACAAGGGGTTAGCGGGGACCGCGGGGCTCGACCTCGCTCAAGAGGTATTGTACCTAATAGATGTACCTAATGTACCCAACAATTAGGTACCTGATGGCATCATGTACGACCAGGCCACATGCATTCTATTCCACCCACATTGTATATAAAGGTGCCTAATCTACATACTAAAATGCCATAAGTAGCAATTGATGATGAATTTATTTAACAAAATGGGAATCATCTTATGGAGTGTGTTCCTAAAATCGATAGCTCAAGCTGCGGATGTAATAAAATAGTATGATATGTGGTTTAGAACAGCTCTAGTCAGCCGTAAAGCCCGACCTACTGCCTAATGTAGCCTAAGCCTTACACCCAAAAGGCTCTTGCCACCCCCTTTTTCTTTGTTAGTATATCTTTAACCTACATATCTTAGGATAGGATCTTAGGTATGTACACTACCTACATACACCATATCATGCTACGATCAACATATATTCCCCTAAATCAAGTCCCCCTCTACTCGTATCCTTCTCATCTACTCCATACACACGATTTTGGGGGCTGATGCATCCTCCTAGCCTGGCACATGCTCATATACCCCTGACAACACCAGATTCGGCTATGGCCCCTACTTGTTAGGTGTCACGGTCTCGACCATTCTGGCGCATCATATCAAACAGCAGTCGTGATAGCAGTCGTGATTGGACAGCCGGCCTTCAATCAACACCATAGGTAGTCTCTTAGCTTTATCAGAACCATAAAACACATATCTACAGAATATCTCGATCTATGTAAAAGCGCCTAGTTATTTATTTTTGCAGCACTTATATTCATATACAACTTTCTTGTGTCTCCGAGACATAGTATAGAGAGTAAGTGACGTGAGCTTACATTTTAATAAGTGAAGATGTCGGCTTGGTAGACTTAAGCAGCGTCTCTTTTGCGCACTCGTGCACTACATAGGTATGTAGGTAGCAGGTAGGCTTATGGATAGCCTATAGGTAACCTGTTTTTTCTATGTATGCATTTAAATAAGACATCTCAATATCATAAGCCTCGAGGGCGGCCTATTATAGATGCCTCTCCTAGAAGAGGATCGGTAGGTAATAAATCTCAGCTATGTACATAGGTAGTAGCATTACCTATAACATCAGGTAGGGTACTAAGGTACTTACGTCTATAAATGTTAGATCTTATCGATAAAAGCAGGAGCCTCATCAGCATTTTACTCACGTGATGGCTGTGGCTTATCACGTTTCCACCTAAGTTTCTGACCAATCCGATGCTCAGGTACTTCAGGCGCTTTGTCCAATCGCGAGGCTGGCGGTCGACGCGATCTAAATTTCTAGCTTTCCAAGGCTTAGGAGAGTTTAACTTGAACTTAGTCGCCCTAATAAATATTACGTCCTTCTTACCTTCTCATAGATCTGTACACTTTGGGTTGGAGTTAGTAGCGCGATTCGCATTATTGGTTCTTAATTGCCTACAAATTCCAATCCTTCAACTCCCATCCAGTACAGACTATTAATATCTTACCCTTTCAAAACACAGAACCGCGCTCACCTCCTTTCCACCGCCCACCGTCCATCGCCGACCGCCGACCGCTGACCCGTCAATATGAGTAACTCGATGAGAGACTTGATTTCGGGCGAGGCCGAACTCGATGACGAAGAGGACGATGAATCCTTTGACGAAGAGACCGGCGAGACTCGAGAAAGATCCCGAAATCGAGGCCAGGAAATAGATGATTCAAGTGAAGAGGATGAAGATGATGATGACGAAGAAGAGGCACGAAAGGTAATCTACAATCTTTATCCAGCCTACTACTAGAACCTTGGCTGTGGGTTACAGATAGCTGACCTCGTTTTGACAGATCCGTGAGGGCTTCATTGTCGACGAGGATGAAGATGAAGACGAAGACATGGTCGGAGATGAGGACGAGCGGCGCAAGCGAAGAAAGCGCAAGCGCCGACAGGAGCGTGAAGAGGAAGCTCAATTAGATGAAGAGGATTTTGATCTAATCGGCGAGAGCATTCCCGAATGGGAACGCAAGCAGCCTTCACAGGTACGATAAACTAGTAGCATTAAAGTATATATATCTTATTCTAACGTATGTAAACAGGGTAAATTTAAGCGGCTCAAGCGTGGCCATCGCGATGATGATACCCGTGGAACTGAGCGACGCGGCCTCGACGATATGTTCTCCGACGAAGACGATGAGCTTGCCGATGAACATCCGTACGCACGACCAAGTCATCGCGCCGCCGCGGGCGAGTTCGATGATTTTATTGAGGAGGATTTCCCTGAAGATGAAGACGAACGCATGCGCCAGATGGAGGATATGGAAGTTGCCCGTCCGCGAGACAAAGGCATAGCGGGACGAATCGTCGACCGGGCTGGGCTAGATAAGGACGCCCTTGAGGACATGGAAGCTATCTTCGGAAACGGAGAGGACTACCAATGGGCTTTGGACGAGGAAGAGGAAGAAGAGGAGCGTCAGAGAGAAGAGCAGACTCTCGAGCTGAAGGATGTGTTTGAGCCCTCGCAATTAGCGGAGAAGCTTCTGACTGATGAAGATAACGCCATTCGTTTTACAGACGAACCCGAACGATTTCAGCTCGACCGTAAACCCTTCAAACATCTCAACATCCAGGGTGAACAGTTTAAGGATGAAATTCAGTGGATAGCTGATCTGATGTGGCCGAAAAAGCAACTGTCTAGCGACTTGCATAGTCCTTTTCAGAAGGCTGTCGGTAAAGTGCTTGAATATTTTGTTCTTGAGGATCTTGAGGTGCCCTACGTCTTTCAACATCGCAAAGACTACCTCATTCATGCTCGGAAAACTCGAAATCCCGACCATCGCGATGACCCCGAAGCGCCAGAGTACATTGTTAACGCTGAGAAGCTTCTTACACAGGACGACCTCTGGCGTATACTTGAATTGGATATCAAGTACCGATCCCTTTACGAGAAGCGCGGTGTCCTTGAAAAGACATGTGATAATCTACGAGAAGTCACGCAGGTGAACGACGATATGATCCCGGAAATGCTAAGTCAGGCCGTCACGATGGAGGAGCTTCAAGACCTACAGGACTATATTAACTTCCAATATGCCTCGCAATTAAAGGATATCGCTGCCATGAACGGTGTGGTTAAGGGGACTAAACGTCCTGGTGCAAAGTCATCCGTTTTCGAACGCGTCCGCAAAAGTAATGCCTACAAATTTGTTAAGGCTTACGGCATCTCTCCCGACAGGCTAGCACAGAACGCTCTCCGTGAAGGTAAGAAGATGATTGCAGACGACGAGCAAAGCTTGCCAATCGACCTCGCGGATCGCCTCACCGATAGCGATTTCCCTACCGGTGACCAAGTTCTGTACCAAGCAAGGCACATGTATGCCGAGGAGCTATTCATGAGCCCAAGGATGCGGAAACATTTCAGACAGAATTTCTACAGGATGGGCGAGATCAGCTGCTTTCGAACTGAAAAGGGACTTCGAAGGATTGATGAGTCTCATCCTTATTACGAGATAAAATACCTTATCAACCAGACAATCAGTGACCTCGCGCGTCGACCAGAACTATTCTTAAAGATGATGAAAGCAGAAGAGGAAGGGCTGATTGAGGTCAGACTCCGACTCCAGAACGAGAAAGAGTTCCACCGCCAGCTGCAAGCGGAATTCGTTTCAGATAACTACAGCGAACTTGCAGATGCTTGGAACGAGGAACGTAAGAAGGTCCTCGACATTGCGTTCGCTAAGCTTGAGAGGGTGATAGCTAAGGGAGTCAAGGACTCGTTGCGAACAGCATGCCAGGAAGAGCTCCTTAAGCTGTGCCGCGAGGAATACTCTAGGCGACTTGATCAAGCTCCCTACAAGCCAAAGGGAATGGTGTTGGGTACTACCCCGCGTGTCCTCGCCTTGTCAAACGGCATGGGCGATCCAGCTCGAGACCCTGTCTTCTGGGTCTGGGTTGAAGAAGATGGGCGGGTCATTGAGCACGGCAAATTTGGAAGCCTTGCTCGCGACGAGTCGCAGCGCGAGGCCTTCGTCGAACTAGTTGAACGTAGAAAGCCTGACGTAATTGGCGTTAGTGGTTTCTCGACCGATACCCATCGATTAGTTCGTGATGTGGAAAGTCTAGTGAACGAGAAAAATCTCACAGGTCCCGAATTCCCAGATCCGGATTCTGACGACTACCGCAGCGAGCTGCTGGAGGTCGTAGTTGTTAACGATGAAGTCGCAAGGCTGTACAAAGATAGCCCTCGGGCACAAGCTGATCACCCGACTTTGACGTCTAATACGCGGTACTGTGTCGCTCTAGCCAGATATCTTCAAAATCCCATGAAGGAGTATGCCGCCCTCGGCAAGGATATTACCTCTCTATTATTCAATCCTTGCCAACACCTGCTTCCTCCGGAGAAGTTACTGAAACATCTCGAGACGTCGATGGTGGACATGGTAAATCTCTGTGGTGTCGATGTTAACGAGGCTGTCGGTGATGCATATACAGCCAACCTACTACCGTACATCGCAGGTCTAGGTCCCCGCAAGGCCACAAGTGTTATCAAAGCTATCAACACCAACGGTGGTGTCGTTAACTCGAGAGACGAACTTGTTGGCGACCCGGACAACAACAAGCTCCCAGTGGTTGGCCCTCGAGTTTGGAATAATTGCGCCAGTTTCCTTTATATCGAATATGATGCTACGAACCCCTCATCGGAGCCGCTAGATAATACACGCGTCCATCCTGAAGATTACGAACTCGGTCGCAAAATGGCAGCAGACGCCCTCGAGTTAGATGAAGAGGATGTGAAAGCTGAGACTGACGAGAACGGCGCCGGCGCGATAGTCCGCAAGCTGTTCCGAGAGGATGAGCAGGAGAAAGTCAACGAGCTTATCCTGGAAGAATATGCCGAACAGCTAGAGAAGAACTATAACCAACGGAAACGGGCCACTCTGGAAACCATCAGAGCAGAACTACAGGCACCATACGAAGAACTCCGTCGAAATTTCAGCCCTCTGACTCCCGACCAAGTATTCGTCATGTTTACGGGCGAAAACAAGGAATCGCTGGCAGAAGGCATGATCGTCCCGGTTAATTTACGGGTGGTCAAGGATGATTTTGCTATTGCCAAGCTCGACTGCGGTATTGAAGGCCGAATCGAATCCCACGATGTCAGTCACAGAAGCAACGTATCGATTAGGGATGTTATCCACGTCAACCAGACTGTTCAAGCCAAGATTGTGGATCTCAACCGTAAAGAATTCCTTGCGAAGCTCACGTTGCGCGAAGACGCACTTCGGCGACCCTACAAGAAACATAACGACCACGATCGTGGTACTTGGGATTTTAGACAGGAAGACGACGATAAGGATGCGCTACGAGAGAAGGATAAGACAACGGGTCGCACGCAGCGAGTGATCAAGCATCCGTTGTTCAAGCCGTTCAATTCTACACAGGCAGAAGAGTTTTTGGGCTCTCAGTCGTCGGGCGATGTAGTTATCCGACCATCTTCAAAGGGTAACGATCATCTCACGGTCACCTGGAAGGTCGCAGATGGAGTCTATCAGCACATTGATGTCCTTGAACTACAGAAAGAGACCGAGTTCTCAGTTGGGAAGACGCTTCGCATTGGTGGTAAATATACGTACACCGATCTTGACGAACTAATCGTGGACCATGTCAAAGCAATGGCAAAGAAAGTCGATGAAATGATGGGCCACGAGAAGTTCAAAAAGGGCAGCGTCGCAGATGCCGGTAAGTTTCCTCGACACGTCTCTAGAATTAAATCATGCTAATTCCAACGTAAGAAAAATGGTTGACATCGTACTCGGATGCTAATCCGAACCGCTCGATCTACTTATTCTGCATCAATCCCAAACGTGCTGGATATTTCTATCTATGCTTCAAGGCAAGCAAGACCTCGCGAATCAACATGTGGGATGTAAAAGTGGTACCCCACGCGTTTGAGATGATGGGATCCCAATATCCGCATATGCTTGCTCTCTGCAACGGCTTCAAGCTTAGATTCAATAGCGAGATCAGCAGGTTCCAGCAGATGAGAAGATGAAGGAACCGACAATGGATACTTTACTACTCATCCAGTTACATGTATCACTAGGGTGTTGGTTTGGCAGTTTAGCTACGTTTTACTGACGAGAATGATGGCAGCCGCATAGAACTCCGGATAGGCTGATGGAGTCGGAGTATTCATACTGCGAAGACCCTGCGACATTCGTATCTCGTGGTTGAGTAAAGCAGCTTCATACTAGGTCGAGGTACTTAATTGATCCGAGAAATAAAATAAAAATATTTCCATTACCAACGCACACGTCATAGTGATTAAATAAAAATCGAAACACATTTCGAGGCTGGTTTGCGTCATGAAGATATTTTGGGTTACCGAATTATATCATACTTGCGTTGCGTTGCGTTGCGTTGCGTTGCCTCTGTAGATTGTCTGTAGAATGTGATAAGCATGTGCGAATCGTATCTTCAGCCTCAGTTAGGTCAGTCATCCTACGAAGCTCCGTAAACTCCATCAAGTTAGTATCATGTAAGATGCGGTAATCCCCTCGGACCAATTAAAAGGCAACCCGGTGTTAGGCGCTTGATCTTCAAGGAAGACATGACTTTTCAAGCCAATAGGAAACCCTCCGATTTCAAAAGGGGCAATCTGGTAAAGCTTCGATGATGTTTTAATCCTTCCGAACTTTAATAATCCTTCGAAACTTTAATAATCCTCTCGACGGTTAGATAGACTTGTCAGATTTCAATACTCTTGTCAGATACTATCCTCCTTTCAGAATTCTATACTCCTTGTAGAGTTTATTGCTCCTTTCGGAATCACTCCTTTCAGACCTCAACCCTCCTAAGGATAGCTCTTTAAAATAACCAGCTTTCAGCATACTATTCTATCCCTGAACATATTAGCCCAAGTTATTGATTAGTTCTCGGATTCGTACTACTGTGCCACCGGGTATGCCAACGTTAGCATAGATAGTAAGAACCCAAACCATCACTTAACACGGTACTCTTCTGTTAGACGGCTGCTAAAGAATTAGTTAGTTTCGATGGTGTATATACTCAGATAACTGAATTTAGGCTCTTTTCGTCTAAGATGTCAAAGGGATTAATGTTCGAGAGGAGTCGAGTCTCGTACTTATACATACCTACCTAAGTTAGTGACTTATACAATGAGGCACATCTCAGTATCTGAGTTGGTTACTTGATTTTTGTAACTTGTTGCGAAGATAACATGTCACTTGGTTGGCAGTAAGCAAGCTCCCTGTTGTCTAGAACATTTCGCCGGCCTCACTGTCGTTCATCAACTTAATAGGAAAGGTGCTTACGATCGATTTTTACGATCAAAAAGATGGCGCATATGACTGGCTAACCGAATTTCGCACGAGCCGCGTAGACCTTCCAAGCCAAGTCCTCGCTACACTGACTTTTAGGCAAGACAATTGCCTGGCCACGGCCCTGTTGATCGATCGCATGCTTGAGTGCCGGGGATGTGGGGTTAGAACTTCGACCCCCGGTGGTGTAAGGGGGCGGCCGTGCTAACATACTACCAATGGGAGATAAATGATAGCATGGATCCCGGTCGATGATGATATACCTTAGGTACCTATACAGCTTCGATTCGTCCTGGAATACTGTCACGAAACATACCTAACTGGTCCAAATGGAGAGATGTATAATGCGCTCTAATATATGGCATCCTCAAACCGACTGGGTGCTTCTTCGTGGCGCATGTATAATGCACACAAGAGACTAGCGTTTCCGATAGCAGCTCCGGAATGCCCAGTGCCAACACAAATACCGAAGATGCTTTCGGCCTTGATGAGCGTCATACAAGATGCAAGATCCCTGAGGTGGCGATCAAAGAAGTTTCAAGTGCCACCCCACCTTGTTAGAATTGGGCGATGAAGATTAATAGCTACCTAGGTTAGGTATATCATCCAAGCGTTTTTACGGAAAGATGCCGGGGGACGGCGCAGGTAAGGTAGGGGGGGAACCGGTAATTTTTTATACCAAGCGCGGATTACCCCATGCGCGTCAGCTTCGGATAGTCTTTTGGAACGGGGATTACTCTTCTGAGGAACAAGGTAAAGAAGACCAACGGCGATGTATATTATCACATATCAGGTCGGTGGCATGCATTTGGATATCTTGCCATAACGATCATTGGTTTGTCAGCACGATCTCCCGCAGCTTAGGACCCGGAGGATTTAGTAGAATAAACTATGATGACGCTGACTGCATCGCGATGGGTGAGGTCAGCCTTCACCGCGAGTTTACTTTAGCGAAGTGTAAGCACTTTGAGACTCGTGGCAACGATATGCCGGATTTTAGATATGGAAGCTTCGCAAACGCCGTTTCGAGTCGTCATGTAATCAGAACTGAGATATAAATAAGCTCGAAGACGCCCATATAGTATAGATGAAACTCCAAGACATAGCATTGTGCTATAGCAATGCTAATATAATATTATTATATTATATTATATTATATTATATTCATTTTGCTCACTTACTAGAGCAGAGAAAATGGCTATCGTCATCTGGAATACACGAGATGTCATCTCGCTGTTCCAGCAATATGGCATCTCCTTACTAGCCGCAACCTTCAGCGCTTGGTTTTGCTATATGATATCCCTGGTCGTCTACCGATTATATCTAAGTCCCTTGGCTAAATTCCCTGGTCCGAAGCTTGCCGCGCTCACGTCGTGGTATGAAATCTACTATAACATATTCAAGAAGGGTGGCGGGCAATATATCTTCAAGATCAAGCAGATGCATGAGAAATATGGTGAGTCAACCTATACGCATAAAGGTACTATGACACTCATCATTATGGAATCAAGGTCCTATCGTACGGATAAACCCGTTCGAGGTCCATATAGACGACCCAGCATACTTCGATGTCGTTTATGCGACAAACAAGCAGTTCGACAAGGTCGAGATGTTTGCCCGTAGTATCGGCGCGCCGCTCGCTGCTTTCGCAACCATCGATGCCGGCAAGCATCGTCAACGCCGAGGTGCCATGGCTGCCTTCTACAGCCGTGCCAGATCACGGGACCACGGCCACCGAGTCCAGATGGTTGTCGACCGTATCTCTCGTCGTTTCTCTACTGAATATGCCGGCACTGGAAAGGTCGTTAACCTCTCCTACGTATGGGGATCGTTATCGAGCGACGTCATCATGGAAGTAGCTTTTGCTCGGCCTAAGCTATTTACCGATGCCCCTGACTTCAAGAGCTCCTTGGCGATAGGGCTGTCGGATCTGCTATACACCAGTCACACTTTCATGCATTTCAGCACTATACAATACTTGGTATCCGCATTGCCGGGATGGCTTGTTAAGACGGTTGTGCCGCCAATCAAGTCGGTCGTCGAAGCACAGGAGGTAAGACATATGCACCACGTTACGGGACCAGCCCCATTACAAGATCCAGACCAAGAGAACTCAACTAACTCCCATAATAGGAAATTGGAAGCCAAGTAGCCGACATGGTTGGAGGCCGAAACACAGAAGCGAAGGAATCTCCTCTCCCTACCCTTTACCGCGACATTCTCACATCTCGATTACCTCCCGAGGAGTTGACCTACCAAAGACTACGCGATGAGGCTGTGTCTACCATCGCCGCCGGAATCGATACGACCAAGTGGACCTTGAGCGTTGCCTGCTACCACATCCTAGCCAACCCTGAGGTTGAGCAACGCCTCCGAGCTGAGCTCAAGGAGAGGATCCCTGACCCTAACCAAATCCCGGATTGGTTCGAGCTCGAAACATTCACATTCCTAACCGCCATCGTCAACGAAAGTAAGTTCCACTCATTCACGATCACACCAATCAAGTAAGGGGGGGAAAACCACTAACATCCTCTCCCTAAGGTCTCCGTCTAGCCTGTGCCGTCAGCGAGCGCATGCCACGCATCAACAAGACCGCCGCCTGGACCTACCGGGACTACGTCATACCCCCCGGCGTCCCAGTCGGCATGGACATCTGGACGATGCACCACAACACGGTGCTATTCCCCGACCCCCACACCTTCAAGCCGGAGCGGTGGCTCGGCGACCCGAAAGTCGAGCCTGAGCTGCTCGAGAAAGCCGGCTACCTGCCCCCCCTCGACGGCAAGACCAAGCCGCTCACCCACTACATGGTCGGCTTCGGCAAGGGCACCCGCATGTGCGTCGGCATGTACCTCGCCTACGCGGAGATCTACATCGGCCTGGCGACCATCTTCCGCCGCCACGAGCTGGAGCTGTACGAGACGACGCGCAAGGACGTCGACATCGCGTGCGAGATGATCCTGTCGCTGCCGTGGAAGGGGACCAAGGGGATTCGGGTCAGGGTCAAGAAATGAACTATGTCTACCTAGGTACCTACCTAAGGTATACAGCAACCTAGATGTTAGAGGTCCTACCAGCCGTTAGAGCTAGACGAAGAAGGAGCATGGGTTGGTATATATATATCCCGGTCTGGAGTGGGGTGTTGATGCGCAACGGCAGTGTTGCTTTTCCCACCGCTGGGTCGCGTAATATTGCAACGTGGTGGTTGGCTGCGCTATGAAGCGGCTACCGATAATAAATAAGCCTTGGATGGTACATGGCTTGATACAGACTGAAGACTCGAAGTTATCATTAAATGAAAAAAAAAATTTGTTAATATTAAAAATTACCAAGTTCATCTATCTTTGGATTTTTATATGTATGTTTAGGTTGAAATAATATTATTGAAGGTTAAGGGATATTGGAATTCACTTGCATAAAAGGGGTAGCTTATGTGGAATACGAGGTAGTTGGATGTAAACTTGAATTACATTGTTTTGGTTATTTTGAATTCCATTTATCCAGAACGGAACAAAATGTGTAGACTATATTGTTGTTAGGCATGTCGAAGAAATATTATAGACTTACAGGTATTTATTTATTGTTCCATTATTCTTTACAGACACTCACCACCTGTACCAGTCACTAACAGTCCAGAAAACCGAAAGAATTAACTTCAAATAACTATGGTACGATCAAAGTCGTTTCAGAGTATGGTAGTTACCGACTTTCCTTCCTAATTCAACGAACATTAGTCTCTAGATTTGAAGTGAAGTAGATATTTTCTGCGGGAAATGGAAAACGGTCGCATATTATTAATAAGTGTATTAACAAACTTGTCATTAATCGTGGCGAAGTTATCATATGAGAGAAAGAAATTTCAAGATCTAGGTACTTGTTAAATCCTTGTGGGATGAGGTATGGTGTAAATCGCCGAGACCCAACGAAAGGGGGAGGAAGCAAGGTCAACAGATAGGTGACAAATAATAGAACCTGGGAGAAAAGACCAGAAGAAGAAAACACGTGAAACTAATCTGGGATCCAGAAGCGCCGGGAAAAGCTTTATCATGAGACATGGCGCTATAGATATCAGAAACATAGGCCCGACCCAACGATTTCACTTGCTCTCCTTATCCGTTTTCTGGCCTCCCAATACCGGGCCGAAGGCATTTTTCGGGACCGACTAATTCAGGAAACCTTTATTTTGTTTTAGCCATTTACAATTTACAGTAGTTATAACATTTCCAAAATTAACTTTAGCTATTAGATGATTACTTGAGTTAATAGTTAGCTTTGCAAGGCTGCTAACTTGGTCAACTATAACCACTATTATTCTGACGCTATCAATAGCCTCTCTTAGTCGACAATTATTACCATTATTACCTACCTCGTACTGTTTTTTATACTTGATTCTGTATATTCTGGCTACGGCGCTTACGCTAGAAGCCTATCATCTCACTGTCACTAGTTACTGGTGAGGCCTCAGTAACGGAGGCCCGAGTTACAGACCTGGTCATCTCGTCGGGGGCCTCGACATGGGTCGTGACTTATATACTTTAACAGTTGAGAAACTTACACCATCACTACTCGTCATTATGTGAAACATGAAACGCCCAACAAAAGTCAGCCTTGCAAGTTGAATACAAATGACTATAGGGCCTGCATAATGTGATACATGAGTAAAAGTACATTTGTTGACAGTTCACAGCCGCTTCATGTTGCTGCCTGGACGGTGTGGTCACACTGCTCTGTTGGTCGAGTGAAACCTCCAAATTCTGCCTTGTTCTGATCTGGTTATTCCATTTCACCATCCTGAGTGATGCCGAGTTATACAAATGAATCAGCCTCTTTGTATAATCCAGCTAGTTACGCAACTAGTGAAACTCGCCGAACAATAGGATATGGTGCCTTTACCGATGACACACGGCTCAAGGTATACATAAATATATATTATGTATGCTAGGGTAATAGTACAGGAACGGTATACAATTCTATACAATTCGAGAACCACAGTTCATGTAGTGAACCCTAAAAGGAAAACTACCAACCTAAACTCTAGGTTAAGATATAAGGCTGTTCAGCTCGTACAGCGCAGCCTCGGAAGTAGAAGGTTATTAATAGTTTTAGATATCCTCGTAATTAGGTTATAGCGAAGAAGCCATGGAAATAGTATCGCCGGATGGCCCCGAAGCGACCTTCAGGTTGCTAGGTATGAATGACTATTTTCGTTGACAGTACCAACACCCCCGGGATTACATACACTAATTCTCATGTGATATGGAATTATGGACATGACTACCTTAGGTAGGTAGGAGGTATGTATTAGGGAAATAAGCAAGTTGCTAGAACTAGGCGCAATTTTAGTAGAAGGATCCAGATGACTTCTCGTCTATCATTTTATTTATGGCACCCCGTACCGAGAACGAAGTAGAATTATTGAAGATGCACTTGCTGCCTAGCAAAATACGTAGATATCTGCACCTTGATGGGTTAAGTTCGGTCTGCCCGTCAGCTCGGCTGCCACAGTCCTAATTTCACGTCCATGCGTGAGTGGTTTGCTCGGGACTTGAGTGGAATCGTGAATCGTACATATACTTTATACCCATCTCACACAAGATGATTCATTTCATCCTACCTTCTTAGCCCAAACTTTCCACCCTAATCGTCTTGAATCGCACAAAGACAACTCAACTAGTGACAATGAAATCCACCAACAATGGCGAGTGGCTACCAAACAACAATGAACTTGTGCTCTGAATCTGGGAGCCCTGATTCACCACAACACCATGATTCAACCATGAAGCATACAAGTCTATTATTCCGAACAAGAAACGTCAACTATTTAATCCTCTCCGGTCCTTCTCAACAATTCCGAGTTCTGCACCGCGGAGCAACTAAGGCACCTAGGTAGCTAACCCCCCCTGCTAATTAATCGAAGTACCTAACCTAACCTAACGAGGGGCGTACGATAGGGGAATACAAAGGACAAAGGAGGTAGACTTGATAAGCACGAGCATACAATAAAGAAAGCTCCATGGCGTCTAACAACTACCCCCAGACGTCACTGCCAGTACCGCCAGCGCCGCCTCAACCTCTATACCCCATGCCCCCCTACCCAACGGCACCCTATCCCACGGTTCCGTATCCTACATCTCCCTACCCCATATCCATGCCCCTATACGCCGCGCCATCCCCTAACCTACCGCCCCCCAGCCCGCACCGTCCCGCACCGCCGCCTCCCAACATCAACGTCGGCCCCGCCCTCGTAGACAACTTCGTCGAGCGCGCCCACACGCGCCTCGAGCCCCGACGCGCCAACCCGACCTGGACGGAAGACGCCCTGACCACCGCACTCCAAGACCAACTCGCCAGCGTCAAGCGCAGCATCCAAGACATCGTCAGCCAGGAATTCCACCTCCCCGGCGACATCGTCCCGCGCGTATCCGTCCGCCTCTCCCCCGTCGACCTCGGCCCCGACGGCACATGGCACCACGGCCGCGGCCAGCTCTGGCGCGCCGGCGCCACCGTCTACATGCCCAAGATCGCAATCCGCATGCCGGAGCGCCGCGCCCCCGAGCGCCGCCGCACCGGCCGACGAGTCGCCACCGGCCCGACCCCCAGCGATCGCGCGTACGTGGACGCCGCGGAGCGCGTCTTGGACGCCGTCGTCCACGGCCGCGGTCTGAACCGCTACGACCCGCGCACCGATCTGCGCGGTCTCCCGTTCGACCCCGCCGCCGACTTGCCCCACGCCTGCTTCGAGTTTCAAGAGAGCTCCGGCTCGGTCGACAACTCGTGCCATATCATGCCCACGCACGTGCACGTCTACCTGCCCGCCAAGGTGAAGCGCGTCGACAATCGCAACACCTGGTTTTACGAGCGGTTGTATGGGGGGCACCCCCGGGCTATTGCGCATCTGACGGGTTGGGCTAACCGTCGGAATATCGACTTGAGTTTTCTGACCATGGCCCGCGCTTAAGTAGGAGCAAGAACTTGAGTCTGCGGTGAAAAGTTAGTTCGTGATTTAATCGGATGGGTGGGTGGCATAACCGGTCGAACTTAGGGGGAGTAAGGCGGCGTTGATGAGCTTATACCACTACCGGGTTTGAATTATTCCCAATTAAACTTCGAAATCGATACCCATTTATATGTAGTATTATTAGCTTATCATTAACAAAATAACTAAAGAAGCATGATCATATATGATAAAGTATTTTGATGAAATCGTATCTATTAAGTTCGTGAATCACTTTTCTTTATTCTACAGAGGGGTATGGCAAATCTCCATTATCGGTCGTTAGGTAAGGTAAGGAACTAATGATAGACGGATGAAGATTTAGGGGTATGATGATGACCGCAAGAGATACCATACCTAAGCTCCCCAAATGTTGGCCCCCCATATGCAAATACTTTTGTCGGATCGGCGGCCCATTCAGTCGTGTCCACGGTAGATACCGAGGACTTGCGAATCGAAAACCACTACGCCCCCCTTTTCCCCAGTCCCTGAATACCCCTGCCATACTCGGACAATTGTGATACACCTTAGCAACCGTAGTATAAGACGGTATTTGCCACCGATAGGCATACCGACCCCCATCCGAATATAAATTCTTTGTAGCAGCGACGGCTGACTGCCTTCGTGTTGTCTGTTGAACCAAAGATACACAGCTTCTTAGACTTTCTGGTAAAACAATAGGTAGGCGACCTTGTTGTCCTTGATATTGTCCTTGGTCTGCTTTCCCTTCATCTGTACAGCGTTCGATGCCCCGTTAACAACGGAGCTCCATTTCTTTGCTCCATTTACTGGAGCGCTGACTTTATTCCATCCTTCATCATCACCAGCTTCATCGTCACCAATTCCTTCAAATCTGTTACCGGAACCGCTCACGACGGTGTCCTTCTTGTCAGGCCGCGCCGTAGTTTTAGGACTTTCGTCCTCAGAGCCTCCTTCAGCAACATCTTCGCTTCTTACTCGTCGGATAACTGTGTCATCCATACGGATCCATTCTACACCATCTTGGCGTCTGAGATCAACAGTGTAGTGCCCACCGCTTGCATTCTTACCATGATGGTAAACAGCAGCGATCAGTTTATATTTAGGGAAGCCTACACCTTCAACAGTAAGAGCATTTCTCTTCTGTCGTGGAAAGAGCTCTTTGGGAAGTTCGAGCTCCAGTGGGTATCCAACCTTCTTCCAGATCTTGACGGTTCCAGTCCCTTCAGTATCGAACTGAAAACGTTTTAAGTGAAGAATGAGAACCGGCGGTAGGGATTCGATGAGAACCTGTTTGGTGGCTGTCGCATCCTTTCCCCTTGGCGACCCAAAGTCACCATGTAGAATTTCGGGTCTGGTGAGTGCTTTCAATGCATCAACAATGTTATTGACCTGGGGGGAACCAATGTCTAGCTGAAGAGGCTGGAAGGGCTCGAGAGTTACGGAATCCTTTAGGCCTTGTACCCTTAATTCCGATCTTAGCTGCCCACCAAACACCTTAGTGATGGGAGACGAGGTAATTGGATGGCCGGAAGAACGTGTAACAGCAGAGCGTTGACGCGGCCCTACCTCTAACCAATCACTAGTATCCGGTGTACTTGTAGGAGACGTCGCCGAAGGAGTGGCAGCCGAAGAGTTTGCAGCGGTAGTCGTAGCAGATGAGTCTGGTTGGTTGCGCATTACTTGCGTGCACTCATCGTGAAGTGCCTCTAAAAGGAAACCAAGGAATTCTTCGGCATCTTGCTGATGTCCACGCTGTTTATTCTTGTTAGATCCCCTCAAAATAGATGTGTAAAAGAACTTACCCTCATGCTAGCAAATCTAGGAAGCTTCCTTATAGCTTCATAAACAAATTCAGGGGTGAAAGGTTCGCCATACTGTTCGAGTTCCTCATTCTTCAACCTCCGCCGAAGCTGCTCGACAGACACCGCAGAATCAATAACTTTGTATTCGCGCATGAACATAATCCTAGAAACATTAGACGAATAGAGGGTAAATAATGTAGGTTGGGTACTTACATGGCATCAATTAGGGGAGTTTCGCTTTTAAAACTATATGCCGCTTTCTTGCTGACCTGGTCCAAGAAGTCATAAAATGGAATGCAGAAAATGAGAACTTGTAAAACCTGGATACTGTTAGTCTAGCTTCCGTTGCAAATCAAGCTACCACGACTTACCGAATTCATATAACACATATTCCCGGGATTGATTAAACCTCTAGGCTCCAGAAACGAAATCTTTTGACTGCTACCCACGCGGTATGATCGCAAAGCTTCAGCCAAAGAACTCGTGTTTGACTTTGTAAAACTACCTACACCTACACTCCCATTACCTGGAGCAGTGCTGTCGGGGATGCTGCTTGTTGTAACGCCAGTACCAGTCGATGCAGCACCAGTAGCGCCAGTTGAAGGAGAAGCGGCGGATGCTGCACGTGAAAATAACCCTGTCCAGAGCTTTGGGCCAACTTTTGCGGCAACAGGGGCGGGCTCTACTTTTGCTTCTGCTCGAGACGCTTCTGGAGAAGTCTCTGTAGCTTCAGCGGGCTTTCCCTCTGCTGCTGTTTGCTGTGTGGATTGTTTCTCCTCTACTGGTTTGGTCTCGGCACTGGATGAATTTGTCTCTTTAGGGCCTACTTTAGGTTTTACGGGGACGATGGGAACGGCTGGTATAGCCGCGAGAGATGCCGTCTTAGCGTGCTTGGTAAATGTAGCAGCAGCAGGCTGAGCTACTTGGACTGACTGAGGAGTGACAGACGAGGTGGACTGTGAAGTTTCCAAGGGCTCATCTTTTGTTGGCCCAGCTTCAGGCTGTGTTGGTAGCTCGGAGGCCGTGCTAGCCGGAACAGTAGCAGTAGAAGATTTGAGTGTAGGGGTTGAAAGTAGCGAGGCATCACCTCCCAAAGCCTCCTCATGCGACACAGTTCCTGGCTCAACTCCCTTTGCTTGGATCGAAGGTAATTCGACATTTTCCGCATCAGGGTTCTGTATCCGTCTTTTTCTCCTAGATCGAGCTGACTTGGTAGGAAAGGGTATATCAGGTCGCGACAACCAGGGCAGCTACAAGCGAGGGTTAGCTTGAGTGGGACTGTTTACTACAAGGGGTTCTATAACTTACTGGAGCTCTGAACGGTGACTGGGTCGACCGCAATTCGATATCCGGGGTGGCCGGGGCAGGTTCCTGGTTTTGCGGCGTAGGGGGAGTCAATGGGACCGGAAGAACTTGGGACGAGTGTGTCGAAGAGGGCGTCTCGGGTACGGAGACAGGTGGAGGCGGCGCGGCTACAGCATAAGGAGGAGGGGTTGAAAGAGCCGGCGAAGGTTGTTGTGGTGGAGGTGGTCGAGAGTAAGGAGGCTGAGGAATAGGCTGCATGCTCGAGGATACGATAGGAGGATATTGCTGGTGAATTATGGGAGGAGATCGCTGAGGAAACTGGTTGTATTGCATGTATGATGGGTTGGCCATGGCGCCATTCTGATAGTGATGCGAAACCTGAGGATAGTATGTCTGAGGATATGGAGCCATATACCCGTTATGGTGGTATATAGGATTGACATGTTGTTGGTGGTGATATTGATGATGAGCTGAATACTGATGTTGCGGTGGCCGCCGTCGACCACCAGGTCCCGAGCCAGGTCCCATATCAACTTGTCCTCGCGCCACAACTGCTCCTCCGGGGATACCTCCTGGCATAGGCTGCCCAGCCGGCAGATGACTACCGTTCATCTTGCCGGCTTGGGGGTGACGAAGCAGTGGCTATCCACTGCTTCTGCGACGTAGACTGTCGCCAATATTCGAATTGCGATTCTGTTTGCGCGGAGGCGACGAATGGGCGGGCAAGCTTGGGGTTGTTGTTTGCTCGAAGGCTGCGCGCTCAATAGGTAGGTAGTTTAAGCGTCAAGTTGCGTCAAGTTGCGTCAAGTTGTGTTATCAACTCCGATCCACTTCCGCAGCCGAGAAGGATGATAGAAACGAGTGGCGCTGCCTCATAGGAGCCTTAAACGAGAAAGTGGATAATGGGTATAAGAAGGTACAGTGCCGCGATGAGGAAAGACGACGTTCAAAGGCAGGTATAGAGCTCAGGAAATAAATTATGTATGGCACTACCCGAATTGTTCGCGCGTTGAAGAAGAAGTTGTTAAGGTTGACCGGGGTGGTTGTGTTCAACCGAGCTAATAATTTGTGTTCTGACTTTTTCTAAAGTTTTCGGACCCTTTTGAGATTACCTCAAGCTAATAATAATCCTGCGCGAGCCCGGCTGACGGAGCGAACTTTCCCAGCCACGGACACTAGCCACATTCAATTATTATAACTGCCCAGGTGCTCAATGTGTGTATTGGTAAGGTACGTACCAGCCTTTGTGTTGCACTCGAGACCTAGGTATTTAACCTAAGGAAGTTCTAAATGTCGATAGTTACTCAATATATTGGATGCATGCGGCTATGGTAATTTGATATTATATTTCTTTGATATTATCTTTCTTCTGGACATATATTTTATTTGAGAGAAACAGTCACCTCATGTGGTTGGATACGTCCCTATTTAATGCTTTAAGATTAGGAAATGATCATAAATATTATAACGTTGAAGTTGAAGCTGAATTCTATCACAGTACATCTCTCAACTTCAGTCAGTCCAAAGTTTGCTATAACACACCACGTATGCGTGCTAACACGAAAAATGCACAGACGGCGTTGGCAGAAAGAATTCTTCTACTAGAATGCTCTTTGTCTTCATTGTTCCTATGCTTGCTTGATTGCTTGATACACCTCCTATTGTTAATAAAACCATAATGCCATGCTATGCTATGCTGATCTCGATGCTTGTAAATGTGTGTTCCGTGCCAGCAAAATCAAGTGCGCCACAGGGTTACCCTTAAATCATCTCTGAATTCTAAAAGCGAATCAGATGTTATTCATCTCTAAAAACCCATCTTCCGCCAGGCCGCATAGCCTCGCGGTACCTTTCATCAATTATTCGACGTGTCGC